ACTAAAGTTTTTTTCTAATTGTCACTTTACTAAACTGCAAAACTGTACTAAACTTAAATTATGAAAAAAATAAGAAAAATTATTTTGAACATCTATCTAATCGTTGATTACCTATTATTATTGTCAATAGTTTTTGTATTCTCGATAATACTAAATGTATGTATTTACTTACGCTCATGCCACGATTGCGGCGCTGGAATTTCTTTAATAATAATAATTTCATTTTAATAATATTTTAATTCAAAATAGTAATATTATAACTGATTTATGTGTCGGCGAAATGGGAAGATTTTTAATACCTTATAAAACTGGGTTATTTATTGGCAAAATGAGAGTCGGTGACGTGGGAAGACACGAAAAAATTTATTCTGAAACACCCGTTAGTGTTTCATCCCCAGCAATGGCTAAGATACGATGTTTGGTCCCCGAGGTATTTTAATTGTAGTACATTTGGTTCTCCGATTTTATATTCTGAGTGGACTAGAGGAGTGAGGAATATGTTGATTTTACAGTGATTGTATTTCTGTGAACAACTTTCTACCAGAAATTTTTCCCCGATTTTCTGTTAGTGAAGCACTTATTGAAATAAAATCTGACTGCAGGGCCGATACTTTAGTTTAAATAATTTTTTGATTTTCCAGGGGTTTTTATAATTAATGGGAAAACGGGAAAACAGGTACAATATTAAACAAATATTATTAAAGAAAATATATAATGCAAAATGCATTTGTTATTATTATTACATATGCAAATAAATATGGAAAATAAATAAATAAATAAATAATGTATATGTAAAAATAAAAAAAAATTAATAAAATAATGAATGCGTCGCCTGGAGTATTAAAATAAGTGTATTATACTGATGATGAATTTTTAATTTGAAACCAATCGTTTAATACACATAGTACTCCAGGCGACGCATTTATTCTTTTGTTTATTATTTTTATATTTATGAATACATTTTTTATTTATATATTTATTTACTATATTTATTACCATAATATTAATATCATATTAAGATAGACTTTATCAACAAAGGCGGTTTATCCTTAGATCTGTCGTCAAGAGTAAAATCTTTCATGATTAATCAAATAACTTATGAAAATATTTGCCATTTAAATATCGCATTGTAATCGATAAACTATACAAAACGCTTAATGCGAAAAGAGCACATGTTCGAATAAAAAAAAAAATACATAAATAATTAATATAAAATCCAGAAAAAATTAGTGTTAATATCATTTATACTTACGTTTCTTTAGTCATTTTACGAAGAATTATGAAACTGGATAATTTTTGTCTTTATAGGACAATTTTTAAAATTTGAACATGCACCTTTTCTATATTTAACGAATCATATATTTTATAACACGTGTCGCAATACCGTATTATTATTATTATACGTTGGTCCATATTATAATAAATAGTATCATAATATTATTATTATGTTGTACAGTAGACGCGGTATGCCACAATTTCCGCCTTGTGGTCACGAATGATTTAACATGACGTAAAAATTGCCGCCAAAATGTAGCAAACCTTTCAAAATTTCAGTGAACAATATCTGTATTGTCTATATATTTTATGTCGCATAGCGTGATAATATTAATATTATACGATCGAGAGACACAAATTTTAAAATCAAAATATTCTACATGTAGGTATATTCTAATCACTATCATTGTAAACGATAACATTTTTTCTTAAAGGAAATCTAACCGGAAAGGTACTTCAGAGCGGATAAGTTAAAATTCCCAAGAGTTTTCTCAACAAATGGGACAAACCGGGACAAAATGGAGGAAAAACGGGAAAATGTACATTTTTCATTGTAAATTTCGGTCTTTTTTTCTATGAACAACTTATTTCACGAGCCATTTTGCTCCGATTTACAATGAAAACACTATCTGAAAAGAAATCTGACTAAAAAGGTACTTTAGGGAAGTAATGTTTTAATTTTCCAGGAGTTTTCCCAATGAATGGGAAAAACGTAGAAAAAGCGGGAAAATAGATACAATATTAAATAAATATTATTAAAGAAAATATATAATGCTTATTTGAATATTTTACCATAGTATTAGATAGATATAATTAATAGGTAATGCATAATAATTTATAGAGCCCTTTTGCGTTTACTGATTAAGTGATACCAACTACATCGAAATACATACTTAACTCCTGTGACGGAACAACCTGAAAATATACTTGAACGTATATTGTGTAGTCTGTACTTTCAGGCGCAATGAAAATATATTACCAACGGGCAACAATATTTTATACTATCAAACAAATGAAACAAATGAAAAAAATATATCCGTCTTTTTATAGATTTTTCAAATTTCTTACTCTTTTTGTGTGCACATGCGTAAAAAAACTTACATTTTTTAAAATGAAAACACCTATTTTCAACATTTGATTTGGACAAAACATGTTTTTTAAGCAACTTATATAAATAAAGTTTTCCCTTATCACGAAAATTAATTACAATATTAGCTAATATTGTATATCACTATACTTTAAATAAATTTGTTGTCTAAATTTAATTCTTGGTTCATCCACTGGAAATGTATTTCATTAATATATTTTGTCTACTGAAAAAAATTTGTTTTAATTCTGTCAATTTCTTGAAAAAAATTAAACACTCACTTGCTAGAATAATTAAATTATATTATAGATAGTATATATTTTATCAAGTTCTTTTGTGTTTATCAATAAATGGATACCGAAATCCTTTATTCCTCGACGGTACAATCTGCAAATAATGCCACACGTATGTTATGTAGTTTACACCAGGCTTGTTTCGGGTGCAAGGAAAATATATTACCAATATTATATGATAAAATTAAATGAAATAGGAATATACCCATTATTACCCGATGGTATTCATATATCCATAGGCCCTATTGGAATTATACCTTATAACATAAGGTATAGTATATATAGGTCTGCTGTATATTATAAAATAGGTATTCAAAATAATAAAAAAAAAAGCTGTCCTAAGATAATGGAGACGGGTGCAGTCACTGTTATAGGTAGTTAAAGGTAGTTTAATAATAGGTATACTGCCTATTTAAAGGTGGTATACCTGTAAACAACGATAGATTATTTTTAACGAAAAAACAATTCTGAGCGGATTTCATTAGATAGGTTGATCAGTTGATATGATTGGTTAACAATATACCATATATGTCATATTAGGGTAAAATAATTAAATAGGCATTATATATTTTATTTAATAATATTTATTCAATGTTATACTGTTTCCCCCGGTTTTCCATATTTGCTGGTAAAATCGAAAAATGGCCTCCCTAAAGTACCTTCTAAGTCAGATTTCCTTTTAGAAAAAGTGCTATCATTGTAAATTGGTCAAAATTAATTGTAGAAAAGTTGCACACAGATAAAAAAAAAAAAGTAAAATAAAATTAACATCTTTGTAAAACCATAATCTTCTTCACTCCATTCAGAATCTAAAAAACCGGACAACTTCGCACGTGGGTGCAGCCACTGTTGTAGGTAAGAAGTTGGGAAAATAGTAGAGAAAAAATTTAATGCATATCTGTAAGTAACGATAAACCATTGCTAACTATTTTTTGACCAATATATATTGAATATAATGAACCTCCTGTTAAATTATTTCTGTTAAATCAAACAATTTTATATACAGAATACCTACCATATAAAAATTAGGTAACAATTCACAAAATTAAAATGTTTATAAAAAAAACTTATAAATGGCTTAAATGTTTTGAAAATTAAATCAAGTCTAGAAAAAACAAATAGGTATGTTTTCTGTCGAAATTTTGTCTTTACGAATATTTTTAACTGAAGTTTTTAAAAATAAAAACAAAATTGAAAATAATAACAACTATTATATTAATATTGTATATTGAAATTAAGCCTTACTAATCACTATGAAATCCAATTAGTTGGCAGTGAGCGAACTAAATATGTTTATCACGATTACATTGCTGATGAAATCATGCCCAATATATTAAGTAATCCCTAGCCATTTTATCTGACCCTGGCCAATAGGAACTTACTACCTACCATTCTATAATAAATTAACTTCTTATCTTAAATATAAAAGGCCATATTTGTCACTTTGCTTTAATGCTTTTATGTATATACTTACTTAGAACATACATTGTGGATTCTAGGTTGAATTGTATTTATACACAAATTTAAAGAGGAGAATATATTTGAGTTCATACAGTTTTTATCTAGTAAAATAATGAATAGACAAAATAGTTACAGCCATTTGACTATTAAGTTTGATTGTCTACTTACTGTTCACTGGGATGGTAAAATATGGTATGGTAATATAAGTATTATAATAATTATTATCACAGGTAAGGGCAACATTGATCACCTTCCTATGCTTGTTTCTGGTGATGGAATAAATAAACTATTTGGTGTACCAAATCTTAATACTGCTGGTACTGGAGAAGCTATGACAAGTATCATTGTAGATACATTATTCAAATGGGGTGTAATAGAATGTATTGATTTGATAAAACTGCAAGCAATACAGACTAAAAAGTATATTAATTGTGCGTATAAATTAATTGAAGATAAAATTGGTAGTTTATTATTATATCTAGTATGTTATTACTTTTAGAGATGGGCAGTATCCGCTATTTTTTATATTAGTTTAGTATAAAGGTATACACTATTTGATTATTTTATTTTATGTTGATATTTTTAAAAGAAGAACAATAGGATGTAGATAGGTTATGCTATAAATATCATTATAAATTAATTAGGTATAAAAAATTATATTTTTTACTATATACAAATCAAATTCAAAATTTAAATAATCCATGTATATTGTACCTACTTATACTCACCTGTAAGTAAATAACCATTTTTTTTATCAAAAAAAATTTGTTTAGGTATTATTTAATTGAAACTAAGTTTATAGTTTATATAATGGATAATAGAATCTTAAGAAATCTCTAGACATCTTAAAACTGGTGTATATAATTTTATTTGTTCATTATTATCCCTATATAGCTTTGTCGTGTAAATTATTTAAAACAGAATAATACAATGTGGTTCCTTATTTCTATCATTAAAACAAACCCCATACACAATCTTGTTTATCTGTGAAAACCAAATTTACTAATAATAATAATGGTTTTTAGATTTTGAGTGAAGCAAGGAATGTATTAGTTTGTAAATGATGTTTATTTTTTTTTTGTTTCTACGAACAACTTTTCTACTAACAATTTTGCTCAGATTTTCAATTATAGTACTTTTTCTAAAAAATGACTGGGATCATGTTTTGACTTTTCCAGCTGTTTTAATATTAAATGGGAAAAACAGGAAAATGTACAAAATGTATTAGTACATTATTATGGCCTTTTTTTCCTGTGAATAACTTTTCTACCAGTTTTGGAATGATTAAGAAAAAAATTAAAAAATTAAAATATCCTAACATTATCTAAAACGTTTGCATTTATAAGATTAATAGGAATGTGTTACACTAATTCATCAAATTCGTTTTTAAAATAATACTGGAGTTCAGCTTCAGCAGATTCAAAAACAAATCTTCGCACCAGCTACATAATCACAGGAGGTGCAAGTGCACTGTCGTTCACTCCTATAATATTCTCCACTGAACTGAGCAATAGTACTACTTTAGTTATTAACTATTTTTATAATATAAACAATTTAAATATTTTAATATGAGTAAAATAATGGATGGTTTATGATTTATATAAACCGTATGATTATTTAAACATAAATAACAATATAAATCACACAGTACATTAAAAATATTATTTTACAATTATTCTTATTGAGTAAATACAGAAAATACTTTTTAACGAGTAGTTATGAAAAATAAATACTTCTTTGTTCTTGTTTCCACTTGTTGTACATACTTTTAGGAATTTTATTCATACTGTTTAATTTTTCAATAAAACTGTTTCGTAACTGATCATCAACTGATTGGGTATTCATCAAAGTTTTAAGAAATGTACCAATAAAATACTTGTTTCTAAAAACAAATGCTTCTAAAACTACGCGCATTACTTGTCCAGTTGATTTGAATGATTCAAGCACTTTAACAATATCTGCTTCATGGCGATTCTGCAATACAGTAATATTAATAATAATTTTTAAATTTTGTATTGTTTGTTAATCTAACTATTTATATACCAGAGATTTCAAATATAACAAACATTTAGACTAGAAAAACTCAAATACTAGGTTAACAAATTTGTTTACTGTCTATTACATTTATTTTTAAAATGATATATTAATTGTTACTTATATTTTGAATCTATGTTAGGTTAGGTTAGGGTTAACATAAGTATGACAAAAAAACTAACAATAATTGTCTAATTTAATTTTACATTTGATTTAAACCAATACAACAGAATTTAATATTCAACTTGAACTCATGGGCCATCTTTTATAATTATGTGAATCATGACTAATCTTATATCAGAAAAATAATTATTCAGTAAACTAGATAATAAAAAAAAAATGTATTTAATTTTAAAATATTTTGCTAAAACTGTTCTCATTATTTAACTGCTCTTTGACTATATAGTTGAAGTTTTATAAAATTGTAAAAAAAAAAAAATTAGCTTACATAGGTAATTAATATTTTAAATGTATTCAGATGTAAATAATTGATGACTGTATCGTAATTCTATGATAGTGTTCCTACATATATTAAGAAATTTAATTTCAATGATTTTTAAACTAAAGAAAAATAAACATTTACTTAAATCAAATGTTGATAAACTATTAAAAGTTTTGTTAACAATAATATCCTTCTATACAACAATGGAAATAAAATATTTAAAAAAGATAATTTAATTTCAACATGTATTACTAAAACAATGTGAAAGTTAATTCCTGTGCTATTTAAAGGTATAAAATATTATACTATAATACATTATAATTTTTCAATTGGTTTGGAATATATTAACAGCAGTTTAATAACTAAAATTAAATTTAAAAATAGGATATTGCTAATGATTGGCATTATACTAAATAAATATACAAAAATACACTCATTAAATAAAACTGAATAATTTATAAGCTGTAATTTACCTGAGAATCATCATAATCTTTGAATAGACCCATAAAATCTTGTCCGTTGTTTATTTTGATTAGTTGTGCTTGAGCTTTTTTAACATATTCGTTTTGTATATCAATACACGATTCTGTTAATTTAGGTTGCTAGAAATAATAATATATAAATTAGAAATAAATAAACTTGAGCGGTAATGTTTTATTTTTATTACAGCATTGAGATGGGATGCTAACGCAGCTGGTAAATCATCAAGCAAAAGTTTGGTAAGCAAAGAGTAGAATACTTTAGCAGTATCTACATTTGGTTTATACGAACTGTACCATCTACTGTATTCCGACCAAAGGCCAATTTCTAAACAACAATGACGAAATATTAATAAAGTGGCTTTACACATTAAGAAATCTTTGGTTGCAGTTGAACTAGATAAAGTTTGATTAAACAGTTCTTCTAATTTTACTGTAAGTAAATAATAAAATAATTAGCAATAATATTGTATCATAAGTATAGGCGTGTTCTGTGCGCAGGCATTAATGGCAGAGTAGTCAATAACGAGTGGATTTTATCAAAAATCTGAACTTGAAATTCTAAAAGAACATGACGTAGTCAGTGTCAAATTTTTCAAACTTTTTTTCTTCAGAAAAAGAAAAATTCATACAAAGTGAGAAATTTCAAATACTTTAGAATAACTCGAAAGAATGATATTTAAAAAATTATACAATGTTTGGAAAATATAATACTTGGTAAATATTTCAGGGCTCTACTATTAATCTTTTAATGAATAACAATGATATCATAGTAATCTAAAACTCAATTGACTACTCTGATTACCCTGTGTACACGCATATGGCTATAAAATAGTACCAACAAACAAATAAAACAAATTTTGACAATTTAATAAGTTCTTAAATAAATTCTTAAGAACAAGAATTGAAAGCGGATACACTAATACACTCAACAAATTAACTATATTCTACTTCCAAAAAAATATTTGAATTTGTTATTAACTTTAATTTCTTATATTTTCCATTTATTCTATTAAAAATTGTAATTTTGAACTTTTAAAAACATTAAGAGTAAAAATAAAAATAAAATGTCAATCTAAAATAGACTTCATAATCAATTCAAATCTGTTTCCAAAATCCTTATCTTTATAACAGATGAAATTACTGTGTTGGAAGTAGAATAACATTGAATTGTTATATTGTGTATTTTAAACAAAAAAACCTTACATTTTAATGCGTGACATTGGAGTGATTTTGTTTTTACAAATGTAGATATTAAAGATAATATTATTTTCCAATTTGCTTTTTCTAAATGTTGAGATAGAACACTATGAATCAATGAATAAATAGTAATATCATCATCGATTTCATCCAAAAACTAAAATATTTTAATTTTAATTTCAATTTTTTAATTTGTAAATAATTAAAAATAAAATACCATTTTAAGCATATCAGATACAGGTTCTGGTGTTTTATATGATCTGTATTGTTCATATGCATTATCTAAATGAAAATCAACATCGACCATAAGCATATTTTTCAACATAACTTTGAATATTTTATGTACTGTAGATTTAATTATAAGGGGTGAACATTTAAGATTTTTCAAATATTTCCAAGCATCATTTTTTTTTATGATTATTGAACAAGACTGTGAAAAAATGTATATTTTATAAACTATAAAAAATTAATTTAACTCTAAATTAGAAGGTACTTACTTGAATTAAAAAACGCTGAATAATTCTTAGATGCTTATCAAATTTATGATTGGGTTCTCCAGATAAAAGAATAAATAAACTAGCTAATAATTCAGTTAATATTTTCTGAGATAACTCATCATTTGATTCCGAAATAAATAATAAAGCTTTTACAATATTATCTACATCTAATTTATAACTATAACAAAGCAATAAATCTTTAGAATAATTGTAAACATAACTAACAAATTGTAATGTATTTTAACATACTAACCACGTAACAAATTCTGTAAAATCAATTATTTGTTTTATATGTAATTGCCAAATTATTTCAATGGAACAATTATTTTCCTGAAATAAAAAGAAAAAAAAACTTGATTTAATATATAATTATGATTTAAAAGAGATTCATTAAGTAGTTATCATAATTGCAGGTATGATATGCCATTAAACAATAATATTAACATTAAAACCATAAACAAATCAAAATGTTATGTTTTCTTCAATCATATGCTCTAGAATAATAAAAATTGTGAAAAAATAAGAAAATTATTAGCTATTAAATTATATATATTGATGTGTTTAACAATAATATTAATTTTTTTTTTACTTAAATGAAGCTTTATTCTCGATCATGAAAAAAATATATGCTGTATTCTTAAGTCATAATAATATCTGATCACTAAATCACTTAGTTAAGTTAGATAAATATGCTTAGGGTCAATAAACTCATGATACTATAGTATTATACAAATGTTGGTCATAATATTATCAATTAATAGCAGTTTTAAAAAAAGGATATATATTACAAATTTTAAAAGCACAATATATTACTTGTAGTGCTAAGAAGGTTAGAAAAATATCTGAGCAATTATCTTTAGATAATTTGTCAATTAAATCATACAATGTTTTTCTATCTTGTTCGCGAAGCAACACGTTCATTTCTTTGTTTCTTATAAATAAATTATTTAATTCTTCAGCATTTTTCAAAATAAACATTTTCACTTTGCTTTATAACCAAAAAACAAACACTGAAAATATAATAAATTAATAACATTTATGTAGGTAATTTTATTAATAGCAGATTTTTAAACTGGTGGTTGTATTATAATGTATAGTTAGGTTTCATATTATAAGAGAAACTATATAGCTCTTCTATATAGAAGAGACCTATCATGCAAGACACTAATTTGTACTTTTTTAGTTGGTTATAAACGGTTTTTTTTTTAGTTCAAGACTATATTGACACACACAAACTAAATTAATATTAAATACCAATACAATTGAGTATTGATATTTTCTAATAAAATTTTGGATAAACATGTTTATCAAAATTACGAATTTATAAATATTAACTAGAATCTATATGAATATTGAGACAAAAAAAAAAAAAAAACACATAGACTCTAAATATTATAACACAATTAATATCAATTTTAACTATACAGAATTTAAGAATAATAAGTACATAATAGTACAAATTAAACCTATGACACTTATTATAATAAAAAAAAAAAATTGTAATAGCCCATTAAAAAATAAATAATCATGGATAATATTCAATTAAATAATTATATTTAATGTTAGCCAAGTTCAAAATTCATAATATGATACCTAAATTTCTTTTATTTATAAGAATATGACGTACCATAATACTTATAAATAATAATAGGTACCACCAATGAATAAGACAATATTATTATAGACAAATTATAAACATGTTTAGACAGATGACAAATTAAAGAACCTTCTAAGAATATATTTAATGATGTTTGATGAAATAATATTTAAAAAAAATCAGCATATCAGAATTATTAAATTGAACTATTGTATCAAACAAATTTGATTAACCAAGATCATAACTTATAATATATATACATAAAAAATCAAATTATAAGTTTATGGTCTACACAACTCTAAATCATTAACAAATATTTGTGTAATATTCCTATTTAGGTTAGGTATTGGCTATTATGAAATTTTAAAAAAACTACTTATTAACATTCTTATAATAAATTTAATGTTAAAATACCAAAATAAAAAAATATTTAAAAGTAATTTTATAGGTACCTAGGTACTATTTAGGTATAACTTTTATATATATATATATAGGTAGTAATAGTTAGGTTAATTTTAGCTAGAAAAATTTCTATCTATAAAAAAGTTTCCGTGTAATTTAAAACTAAATTTTTTATGATGAACCATAAAAGTACATAGATATAATGACAACAAATAAATTGAAATTTAAAAAAGAAAACATTTTGAATTTGATATTGAATACAATATTGATTGTACCTATATTTACAGTAAAAATGTTGGAATTTTATAGGTGATTGTACCTATATTATATTTTATCATTAATGAATAATTTTGTATTCGTATAGTTGGCAAAGTTAATTTATAATTTTCTTTAATGACTAATAGCAATAACCAATTCCGGTATCTACCTATGCAGGTATAAACATTGAATTGTGGGGTAAAAATTCAGAAACTTGAAGATAATATCAACAATTTTAAATAACACTGTACCACAAAAATCTCGACCGAAATGTTCTACAATGTTAGAATAAATAGGAGGTACGTAAGTACTACTACCTATCACGAAAATATATTGGCACACATAGTAACTTAAGGTTTTGCTTTTGGTTTAGGTGGACAGTTGGTGTACCTATGTATGTATTCGAAAATTGTCGATCATTGTTTGAAAAGAAAGTTATCTATAGGTATTTTAATAAATAAAGTTACAATTAATCCGAAATTGTTTTGCAAATGGGTGTATGACACGTTGAACATGATTATATTTTTATAAAGTATTCTGTCAATGATCACCTACCTGCAGTCAAAAAATATTTCGAATTAATTATAAGTATGAGTACCTAGAATGACGTTCGATAATCATATAGATAATCGTCCATTAAACTCTGCACGTAATTCTCAGTACTTTGAACCGTCGTTATTGTGATTTATTATTACACGAAAATGTCTAAAAATGTTCGAAAATAGTAAATGACAAAACGGACATACATAATACGGATTTACCGAACGTTCTTATCGTTAACAGACACACATTTTTCCGGACAATTGGCGTTAAAAATTACGGTAAACATATCGATTGAGTTTAACATTCGGCACAATCTACCTGGGTATACTGCATTTCGAATGCGCAAAAACACGCGACGGCGATAGGTATGTATAGACCAAAGAAATATGCACGGATCTCACGTACCCGTGGTGTCTGCGAGTTCCGGAGTTATTCGAACAGAGCAGAGAACCAAAAAAAAAAAAATAAAAAAACCGCAAACGAGTTAAACGGCGAGAGGTGACGGTGGTGGCGGCGAGTATGGAAAGGTCAAAATTAACATTATACCGGTACCGCGAATAAATTGACCGGCGCGTGAAACGGACGGAATACCATAATAATAATAATAATAATATAAAAATAATTATAACAAATAATGTAACTATTATAGATAACTCTTGATAACATCGTGCTGCGCGAAGTGATTACAGCCGCCGTGCGTTTTACGCACATAGATAAAGTGTCAAAAGTGTCAAGTGACACCGACTGAATACCGCACTTTCGTATTCGTATCTACGATATTATTCTAATAGCTAATACAACAATTTTTCTGTTTATACAACATTATTTTTTAGTCGTTTAACACGACGATAAAAAAAACCGTAATATCAGAACGCACAGGTAATAGGTACGGACGTCAAGACCGCGACTATCGGCAGCGTGGCGCTCATGTAGTGATAACGGCGGTGCGTATAAAACTTGACGCCGCGCGCGCGCACAGCGAACACACACGACGGCCAGTACTCTAAATAGTAACTCGCAACAGCAGCAGCAGTCGCGCCTTGCGAGTTGCGGTTCACACGGCACCGTCTCACCGTCTCGGCCGGTCGCACGCCCAAATAATACAATAACAATCCTCCGCCGTCTGTTCGTCGACGGTCGCTCACCACCGCCATCATCGCACCCCATATGATCCGCACGCGGCAATTTCAAATGTTCCGTGGTTTTTTTTTTTTTCGTCGTTTTTATAATTAATCAATTTCCTAATTCGCGTCCTAGGGGTTGTTTTTAAGTCGATGCATTTATTTATTTAAATTATTATTCGCGTGTATCGTATTCATCTCTCCCTACCCAGAGTTTACTATAATATTAAGTGTTAACTATATATTGTTTTATTATATTAAAAAAAAAATATCTACACCCGGTCTACGAATTATTCCATTACGACGACGATGAGTTTATCAGATTATAAATTCGCACTGGCAGTGGTTTCGATCGTTTTCATCGCGGGCTCAGTCCGAACTTGGGGTAAGTCATCGTGTATTACAATTAATTAATAAATACGTATTTACGTTATAATTTTAGTATAGTATCTATATGACTAGAAGGACTACTACTACTATCTTGTGATATCTTGTAATATTATAATATATATTATTGCGTGAGCTAAGAGTGTGTGATGATGTATCGCATGTGCGTAATATTTTCGCTCGCTATTTTTTTTTTTTTTTTTTTTGCACGTGATCGGCCATAGAACAAATATCTCTCCTCACGTACGCCACACGCGACCGACTACCTCCGCGGCTATGACCTTTCCCAATTCCCGGACAGCCGACGGTCCGGATTCTTTTGGTTTTGGGTTCCTTATATTTTATTTTTCTCTTTTTTTCCGCACGGTCGTACCTATCCGTTATGTTTCAGTATACAGACCGGTACTTATAATAATACATTAATTTCCGCCGCAGCCGTCGCCGCCGCCGCCGCCGCCGCGTATGGCGTACGTGACGAACTGCACGCACACCACGCGAGTTTTCACTATAAAACCCCGCAACCCCGCCTCGTCCACCCCTTAGAACGGTTTATACGAAATAATATCGTTGCCGCCCGCGACCTCCAATAAATGCGCTTATATAACACCGAATGGCGAATTAATAATTATTTCTTGCTCATAGCGTCCGGTAAAACCTAATTCGCGCACCTGTTTTATTTATTTCTGTATACGTTCCATACAAGTAAGGTATTAATTATAATTACAGAACTCGTTTTTTGCCGCGTGACAGTTGGTTTTATCTGTCGTCCGCAAAATAGTTTTTATCTAACAATAATAATAATGATTATTATTATCATAGGTATTAATAATAATAGTATTATTAATGATTACAGTACAACTGATGACATAGCGCTCTTATCAGCATTTGGTGTTCAATAATTATTGTTGTATTAATACGCCGCATCATATTGTTATTAATAAAAAAGGTGTAAAAGTTTTCTATACTGATAATATCAAATAAAATGGTATAGTACCAGTGGTGCTTTAAAGTCGCTGGTACTTAGGGTGCTTAGGGACAGACTCTGGGTTTCAAGAGGTTTGGGGAAATTGTATACGTCGTCCGCTTAATAATTAGATGTAGGTACGTCCATCTACATAATACTAAATATTATTATAATATCGATATAAAATTTAAAACAATACAAAGGTAAGATACACGGTTATTGGATTTATTTTTGTAAACCATTGTTAACAAAAAATAATTCTGAGCAAAGTTCGGTTGTACACGGAATTTCACGTGTTTTGAAATAGCGTGGTTTTTATGATTTTCGTCAAAAATTGAACTATACAGTCTATAAAAATAAAATTACTACATTACACTTTGTTTTCTTTTCTACCAGTAAAACTTGAATTAACCTCTTATTAAATTTCTAATCATTTCTGTTCGGCTAAATCAATTGTATCCCCATTTACCAAATAAAAACTAAAAATAGTAGAAAATGTAAAATGCTTATAAATAACTAAACATTTTCTTGAATGTTTTAAATATTTGTTCACGTCTAGAAAAATTTAAGTATATTCTGTGCAATTTTCAGTCTTCTGAGATTTTTTTTAATCGAATTTTAACAAAAAAAAAAAAAACAAAATCGAAAATAATGAAAATGTTTTTCCGGGTTTTCTCAATTACTTCAGAAACTGCTTAAAAAATCAAAAAATGACCTCCACCATTTAAATTAAAAATTATACCAAAAAGCGGTCATGTAATTTTTTGACCGTGGCAAGATTTATGGCGGGAAATTTGTTTACAGACGAAAAAAAAAACGCACATTATAATTTTTAGTGGAACCAATACATTCCTATCAGCGCTCAAAATCTTATGCCCAGCGGTTTTTCGAGAGAATTATCTACGACTTAAATTTGATTTTCGCCCCCGAACGCCAAATACCAAAGGCATTTATATTAACACGTCCTGAAATTTTGGCACGTAAGGCTAAATCAGACCAAATTGGACCACTAGAGGGTGTCGACTATGAAAATTCGGCCCGAAGGAAAACTATTTTTAAACGCGCCGTGACGAAATACGACGTCCGCTGACTTTTTATTGAGTTCTATCCAAACCGAATTAGTTTTATATTATTATTATTATAATGCATATATATTATTAATTTTGTTTAAATCGTTATAAACAAGGTAAAATTTTGTTTTCGGTGTTGTCACTATATACTCATCTGGTATAGGTATTACACTGTCTATACTGTGATCGCGAATAAGAAAGTGAAAACGCAAAAAAACTTACGCATGATAACATGTTCATAACGTTTCGTATTATTGGCGAAAGTTGTACGAGGTATTTGGTATAGTACTTAACCTACCTGATATTATAATCTCCTATTCTACCCATCGCCGGGATAAACAATAATAAAAAAAAATATACTACGCTTCCTGATAAAAAAAACCTCGCAATACACGGTATTATAATCGATCAATCGATTTCATGCGTGTACAATATTATATTGATTTCCTGTTAATATCATTGTATATATATTTAGATATATCATATATAGATAAAAAGGTATCTATAATGACTATTATTATTAGATCCACTACCCACTTTTTTAAAACCGTTCATTGTGTAACATAATATAAGGACCCGGGTATTAATTACCTTTAGTATAATTCGAATATTGCACTTAATACCTTATCGGGATAATGTTTGTAATTTGAATTTAATAAATATAGGTAACACTATTATATTATGGTGGTACGATCATTCGCGAAGGTTACCTATACCTAAAAAAAAAAACGAAACCATTATTATGTAAAGGAAATGATATTATAATATACTAAATATTAGAACTATTAAGTCTAATATACTGTATAGTATACCCAGTATACTACAGGTAATACTGTAATGCTAGTTTTCTAAACGTACTTAATAATTATAATTGATTTGATTGTATAAGTATTATACTTACCTAATTGCAATAACGATTTGGGAAGACGACATCCGACAAATTAATGATTTTAAAAATGTTATCACTGGATGCGATTTGTTTAAATGTATATTATAATACCGATAGTAATTTCTGAATATTTGAAAAGATGTAACGTCCACTTTCTAAACGGTACGCGAAACTGAGTCGATATTCTTTTTTAATTCATAACTGTCTTTAATAACAGAAAACAATTTAAATAATATGTTTATAAAATATATAGTTTACCTTATCTATACTTACCAAAGTTTCGTTCCGTTCCGTTCCGTTTTAATTTCGTGAATAACAGTCAAATTACTACTACTGTTATAATATTATTAGGCAGGTACAATTTTGCTATAGTTTTTGTACTCTTAAAAAACTACACGTTTTTTTAAGCCCACGTGAAATACCTAAGAAGAAAAATACCCGTTTGAATATTTACTGTCTGAGGATAAAAGAAATAAATACATTTTTAATCTAGTTGTTGGTGAGTATTAAAATCGTTTTTTGGTTTTCCCTGTAGTTTTTTGGATAATTAAGTAAAACCTAATAAAGACTTAAAAAGAAGTAAGAATAGGACAATTTACAAAAATAAATAATGCTTTTATTATTATAAATTTTGTATTTTTGTTGTAGTTCAGTTAAACATATTCGTAGTGATTTGAAGTTTTGACAAAACTTATATTTGCGTTTTCTAAACGTAGTAAAATTTTCAAAACATTTGAGCCATTTTTGAGCTATTTTTAGACATTGTACTTAGTGTACTTTTGTTACTTAAAACAATTGTGTTTAATGTAGTATTTTTTTTTTTATAAGAATTTAGTATCAAATTTTGATGAAAATCGTAAATATTACTTTCAAAACCTGTATAACTGAACTTCGCTCTGAATCGTTTTTCGTTAGCAATGGTTTTTCATTGCTTACAGATATAAATTAAATAATTTTACGTATCACACTTACTCAACTTCCCACCTACAACAGTGGCACAACCGTTCCCAGTATTGGCTTTTTTGTTTTTTTTTTTTTTTTATAAATGTCATTTGATTATACTTTGTTCTAGTTTAAAGGTTAACATTATTTAAACGACGATGTAATATTATTATTATATTTATTATATGTACCAGTAATGTATACATCGCTGGTACGTTTTATAAATTTCAAAATAAATAAATTGATTTAAATACACTCGTTAAGTATTTTGTTCTATATTTCTATATGGTAATATATTAATAACGATTTAATATGTATTGCTACGCTGCTTATTTGTGTATATGGAAATCAGAATATCTGTGTAGCACAACAACTACTAACTAACTACTAGGTACATAATATATATTATACAACAGTACATTTGAAAGTGGTCTCGTTTGACTGAGTAGAACAATAATTATTCTTCCATGTAGTATTTTATATTGTATTTATTGTTATTTCTGCGCGGTTATATTATAATAGTACAGATTCGGATGTATTTTGGTAAAATGTTATTCGAATAAGACTATAAGACGACGTACTTAAAATAAAATAAGATCAATAAATTCCTAAAATTGAAAAATGATATTTCAACTAAAAATTGTGTAATTAATAATATTTTAGTGAAATTTAATATCTCAAAAGGTATTGAAAAATGATTAATACAAATATTAATCATTTTTCGTCAAAGATATTTTTAACTAAAAAAAGCGATCAATTTAATATTACCATTATTATTGATACGTTTAATATATTGTTATAAACCATTATATACTTTGACCCACGAGAGATCAGTACCGCAATTCGACCAAAACCCGTCTGATTCCGCGCATCCCCCACTCATCAGCCCACCGACAGTGTGAAATGAAGCTCCGAACCGTCACTGCCGGTCACTGATATCTCGTGGGCCGGAATATAATTAAGTTTTGAAGACTATTTTATCGGCATTTTTAGAAATACTAATTATTTAAAAAGTTACAAGTCTAAGAAAAAAGAAAAAAAAACAACGAAGATATATGATATCGTTGATAACGAGTTGAATATTTAGAGAATTGTAAAACGCCGACAAGCTTGTCTTTGAAATTTTGTGGTTTACTACAATAACTGTAATATAGGTGTTTTATCTTAAAAACTGATTTTAAAGGTTTTTTTTTACGAGAACGAAATTTAATATTTGACTATTGTGTTATTTTGTCACGGCTTCTAGAAACCTGGAAAACCTCGAAAAGCCACGGGATACCAGGAAAATTGTATACAATTGTGGAATTTTAATTTCAATAAACTTCTATCTCTATTTTCATAAATATTAATTATTCAGAATTTGAAAAAATATCATATTTTATATTAGTCTAGTAGTATTATTTTGTTACGTATTTAATACTATAAATACTATAGCTATTTAAAGCAAGGTTTTGTATTGTTACGTTTATTAGTTTTAATATTTAAATACAAAAAAAAAAAAAACATCGTTTGAAAACATATTATTAGTCTACTTTGGTAAACTGGAGAAAAAAAAAAGGAAAATTTAAAAAAGAATTTCGTGGCAACTAACGTATACTATCGAATTTATCGAGTATATTGAGTATGCTTTTACTGCGAGATGGCTTTTTATACATTTCGTTCAACTGCTGTGGCGCACATTCGAATTATCGAAATTGACGGCCTTAACCTCGGAACTATATATGTATAATATATTTATATATTGTAATATTAATAATATTTATTAATAACGTATAATTAAATATGAATAATAATACTTAGTTCTTTTTTAAAAAAAAAAACTGTGATTATAAAATAAAATAATAATAATTGTCATCTATTATAAATCCCATAGTATACTTATAATATTATATTATAGTAAACAAAACACTTCATGAATGAACAAACAAGTCGTGTATTGTTATTTTATAATAATTAATATTATTCAATTTATAACGATACTTTCTATTTTATCATCATTATCAATAATTGTAACGCGCCTATTTAATAATAAATACTAAATAGCCATAACAATTACGACGAATTTTATGCATTCATAATTTAATAATTGTATATATAATGATTATAACGCGTTGTGCGATATCATTTTTATAATTATTAAAAATAATAATTTTATTTGTGATGATTTTGTTTGACGACAAACTATATTTGATTTAGGTATTTGTTTCATTAATTAACCGAAAAGTACGAACTACTTTAAATTCCGAAACACAATATCATACCAGTATTATACCGTTTTATTAAAATGAACAAAGCAACAGAAATATTTGAGCAAAGAGTTATTAAATTTAGCAACATAATATCTATATAATGTCTTTGCGAATCGTCTTTTAAAAAACTTACATTTTGTTCGATAATATTTGAGTTCCAGGTTATGATTGTATGTAATCGGCGTCACCTATACATAGTATAGTGAGTTCACATGAAGAATATTGTTTCACTGCAAATATTTAGAACTAAAGTTAAAATTTTAAAATGTAACCGTTATTGTGCTGCAACCCGTGAGACCTTTTTGTTTGTCTCGGACTTTCGAGAATACGAACGTATATTTTATAATTTAAAAACGTCAGTATACCTGCATCATACATACCTAAATATTTACCCTTGATATTACCTAATTCTACAAATGTAAATCTATATTTCCGAAAAATATGTATTTATATGGTTTATATTTTTTTGGAAGTATATAGGCTATTATGAAATTGATTTTAAAATTTTTTTCAAATTTACACTCGTATTTATAATAATTTGGTTTTTGTTTTTTATATAAACTACGTACACTTGTGATTCATAGAATCCGATAAATACAAAATCGTGAAAGCAATTCGTCATGAATAATAACAATAATAATTATATTTACTACCATGTTTTTTTTTATGTACGAAATCAATGAATCTCGAATCTTGATACATTTACACACGTAAATTGTGAATGGGTAATTTTCAAGGTAATTTAAATAATTTTTAATCTAGGTAGGTGTACTTACCTACATAATTTTCTTCGATCCAGCGATTGTTTAATTGTGACTAACTATGGTATAGGTATTAGGTATTTGGATACATATGTTGTGGGAATTATTGTTGCAACTTGTTTGTATATATTTTAGTAATGATTATTACCAAGGTTTGTTATCATTGCCGCTTGTAAGTGGGAAAATAGCTGAAAACTAGTTTGCGTATATATAACTTAGCTATAAATAATTTTCAAACTACAATGCATTTTATGGAAAAAAAAATAGAGAAATCAAATTTGTATTAAATTACTCGACTTATTTAACCTAATCGAATCCTTATATAATTATTTGAAATTAAATACATATTAAGTGTTTAAAATTAAAAATGTACTTTGGTTTGGAATTAAGACGTTCCCGAAAATATTGTACTTCCATAATATAGGTTTTTAGATTTAAAATCACTTCACCATAATATTTTTACGACTGTACGGTGTGAAGTTATTACACTTTTGCTATGGTGCCCGCGTGAAATACAAACATAAAAATAACTCAATTTGTATGAAGTATCCATGTAGGTATTATGTACATTCTCAATAATATATTATCTACTTAATTAGAACAAGGCAATCACTAAAATCATTATAATGCTTGCACACTGTCGTATATACAGTCACATATTTTATCCGATATAATGAAAACATATTGATAATTAACGATTGAATATTAATGATTGATAGTTTTTGGAATAAATTGAAATATTTAATAAAAAAATTAATAATACATTTAATATCCTGTAAATTAAAAAAAATGTATCTTGTTATCATGAATTCCTAGATATCTCATTATATATTGGTAGTATAATGAGAATTTCTAATATATAATAAGCTAATTTTATAATAATTGACGGAAAAACGTTGTAAACCTACCAATGTCTATATTATTATAAATAATAATCATTTTTCTGTTTACACGATTGATTTTATATACATTTTTGAGGTTATCGAGCTAAGGGTCATACACATACATGACTACTTTATTATACTGTAATAAACACGATTACTCTATTGCCACCGGCGCAAGTCTTGATAAAAATTATGATTTTCCATGTGTGTTACAAACACGGACAATATTTAAGAGTCATATTATATCGTTTTAATTCGATTTCATATTTGTAAAGTCCGTGCGAAGTAATATATTTAAATTACTTTTAATATTTATAGACAGGTATTCTTTATTATATTATACTATTTTTATTGGGCGATCATATTGTCTTTATGCTAATTGTATAATAGGGAAGTTGAAAAATGGCGACAGCGCTATAACAATGTTCGCCAATAATAGAATAATAATATATACCTTGGTATACGTTGTAGGTATGGTATACCGGCATCACTTTTATCTAATATATCGGTTTTTAATTTTTAAAAATCATTAAAGTATGTTTAAAAGTAACCGTATTAATTTTGTTAAATTATTATATTCCATTCAGGGTTATAAAAAAACATTGTTTAGATTCCGAACGTAGCGAGGGAGCTTTAGATTTTACAATGCTCTTTATTTATTATTATTTTTCTTTGTTCTATTCTGTTGACACATTTTTTCTTAGTAAATTTTTTCCGATTTTTACGTGTGGCAATTTTTCTGAAAGCTCAAGTTGTCTAGATTGTACTTTAGTGAGGTAATTTTTTGATTCCCAACTCCACTTTTAAAATAAATCTCTTGAGTGGGAAAATGGTAGGAAAACTTACAATTTCACGATTTCATTATTTTTTTTAAAAATACGGATGACACTTTCTACTAAAAAATGATTTAATCGAAAAATCACAAGAAACATTTTTTATTGCATTTTCGATTTACTTTCTTACGGTATCATCGCCAAAACTTATGAGCTTTTAAGGAATTTTAATTTTTGGTACTTTTTTGCTGTAATTCGGTTATAAATATACGTAGAGACTTGAAACTTAGTAATAATACTTATATTAAACTTACCTAGACGAGGTAAAATTTCCAAAATCATCGGACGTTTTTTAAATTTTTTTACAATGGTACTTTTTTTTATATACTGTTGACCACTATTATCCTAAACAACTTATTCTGATGTATAAATGCTGCATCTTTTCTGAAAGTCAATTTTATCTACTTGGTAAATCCATAGGTCATTTTTTGATTTTCGAAATGGTATTTGAAATAAAAACGATTAACCGGGTAAAAAATACTATTTTTTTACGATTTCGTTATTTTAAATAAGTATCTACCATGTTTTATAGCACAAATATAGCTCCAATTGAAAAACGACAAGAAATCTTTTTTGTTGAATTATTAATCTTGTTTTTAATAATGCAATGAAAATTACGGCACTTCAAATTATGTATTACCGATCTGCGCTCGGAATCGTCTTTCGTCAGCAATAGTTTATCGTTGCTTACATATATAAATGAAATAGCCTTATGTATCTTACCTTCCCAACTTTTTACCTACAACAGTGGCCGCACCCATCGCCAGTATCGGCTCTCTTTTTTTTTGTTTTTAACATTATTTTTTTGTAAGTTCATATTAAAATATTTTGTAGCATTTGCTAATTATTATGGGATACAGATACAAATAATAGAGTGAGCTTTACATTTGTTTAAAGCATATTTCAATAAATTACAACATGTAATAAAACATGTGGTTTATTAATACACTTGATAATATTATTAGTTTAAGATCAAATAATATTTAACTTAGATTTTAAATAAAACATAACTATTATAGTTGTCACATTATAGTTAAATATAAATAAATTTAATTCCATTGTTTTAATTGAGTTTTACTATGAAACTATCTTTCAAATAGACGTGGGTATTTTATTGAAGGTATTTTGTATGTTGAGCGAGTTACCGCAGTACCTACGGGTTACAACTTACTGTACAAAAACAATATTGTATTTGCATGGTATTTGACATATTGTAAAAACAATAATAAACAAATCGCACTCGAGAAAAACCATTACAAGTCGCGTACAGAATTAGGACGTTCGCACTAATTTTTCTTATTTTTCACGAATTAGAAATTAAGCAATTTATTTATCACTTTAATGTACCTAATATATTGTTGTGCATTATGATAATTTACCTACCTAATAATTAAGTCGTTACGTATCGATATGATTGTGGGTACTAATAGAGGAGGGAGAAACTATTTTTATAAAACTATTAATTAGCTCTTTCGGTCTTACTTAAATCTAAATTGAAATTTGCAAGATATCTATTTTAAGTACTAAATATATACTTTATTTTCAGTTTAAAAAAAATATTCAAATAACATTCTGGTAAATAGTCGACGGCTATATAAAAACATAGTTATTGTTCGTTTCATATGTTTGTTTTTATCCTGTCTAATCTATATGTATTTATTCGCGTATTTAATTGAAAAATTGATATTGACGTAGGTAAATATAAGGTTATGAGTGTAATGTGACGTAGGTATATCATAATTCACAGTGTAAATCTATGTTATTATTTACATAATATCACGAGTAGATTTGGTGTAAACCGGTTAAATATAATATAATTGTTACACTTTTACAGTATTATTATTACAATATATTCACTCGATAACGAATATTTTTCGTTTGGCTTTAGCCTAATCGTGTATGCACTATATAATTTTTGTTGTTTTTGTTATTGTAGTTAATTTATTGTTTAAAATTTAAGTGAGCTTTAAAATTAAACACGTGATAGTAGAATTAATACATATTTGCGTTTAAAAGGGTTTTTCTTAAAGACTCGTATGCCCATAACTTATAATCCATATAATTTTATATATAGGTGTATGTAGCCGTAGCCGTTTAAGGGGAGGGGGAAATTTTATATAGATATATTGACAACCCCCTGTTTTTTTTTTAAAATATCTAATTGAATTTATACGCTCGCTTATTATTTAAATTAAAATATTTTACTTTTTAGTCAGAAAAATCAAAAATGTGTAGTACCTATACCTAGTTAAAAAAAATATTAAAACTATAATCAAACCTGAGCGTATACAATTCTTTGTTTAAAATAAAGCCTATCAAACACACTATAATATTTTAATATGAGTGAGGTTAAATATTATTACTTAAATTGTAAATAAACTGATAATAATTATAAATTCACTCACAAAAATATGTGAATTACGAGTAAAGATGGACTTTTTTTTAAATCTTAATAAATTCAATAACTTACTAATACTACATATTTCACTAGTACAGTGTAGGCTCTCCATTAGTCGGTATATTTGTATTATAAATAGATAACGGCCGTGTTAGTGCAACGGTTATACATTTTGGCGGTGTCAGGTGAAACGGATTTTTTTTGTCTTATAATTATAAATATACACAACTTATGTGCAAGCTTTAATTTATGTGGGAAGTTTAATATCAATGAAAAAACCTCATTATATTTAACGTTTATGATTCCAAGCATGGTACGTGAGTAATTAGGAAACTATTATAATTTTATATACAGTGGTTTGTTCTTTTTATTTCCCTAGATTCTATAGGAGAATAAGCGTTAACCTGTGATAAAAATGGTAGAATAGTTTCAATCCAGCCACTTAGATACCAAATTAATAATATTAAACGTTATGTAAGGTAATTTTTCGAAATTCGAAAGAATTCGAAACGGGTCAAATTTAAGGAGTTGTGTGTAGACAACTTTATAGTCATTTGTGCACGAATCATGTGTATATGATGCGAGTATAATTAAATCGACCGCTTTTTGAATAAAACGTCTAATCTTTTATTCAGTTAAGGTGATGAACCTAATGATGCAATAAGACATTTCAAATTAATCGGAATAATTATTTATTACGCCTACTTGAGATCGGACCCTTGTCATCATTTCAGATTTTCAATTTTAATCCCGTATAATCAACACTTAAAGTTTTTTAACTTTCACAAATTCTAAACCGATGGGACGAAATATTACGTAGTATGTTTCGTTTTATTTTCGCTGACTTGCTGCTTGTATATATAATTTACTTACTATACTGTACTTTGAACCAAGTCTTTATTAAATAAAATAAAATGAAATATAGTTGAAAAAACGTTCCTTTCTAACCCGCTTAATCATACCTGCTTAAAATAAAAAAAATCATCTGATTAACACTTCAAATAAGCGTTGAAATTTGAATTCTGAACTCGACTCGAAATACCAGATACCCAATAGGGTATTATACATTACTTTTCCTCTATTGCGGTTTCTTTAAAAAAAAAAAAAAACAATTTAAATGCCGAAAATTGAAACATACAATACGATTTTACGTTTCGTACAAATTTGATATAAAATGCATTTGTTCATATTAAGTATGTGCGAGAAGTGAGGGCGATAACCTACTTTTAATTTAGTAAAGTGTTTCGAAATATCTACCCTAAGCGGAACTCGATTTTAAATTGTACAAAGACTTAGCTGCATAAAAAAAAAAAAAAAAAACCACAATCACAATTTGCAGCGTTTCATATTTCCGACCCATCATTCGGCTACAATAATGACAATGTTGAGTATGTTATTGACCACATTGTAATCGGGTATTTTAATGAATACCGATAACGCTATTTTTTTAATGGTGCCTCAATAATAAATCAAATAAGCTTTAGCAATTCCGTAGATATTTTAATGTTGTCAAGATAGGTAGGCATAATTTAATATGCAAAATAAAACAAATGCAGAATATAATTACTGATTAATTTTATTCCTATAATGAGGGTCTGTATCATTTTTAGGAATGAGCTATACATATTATGTAGGTACAAGTAGAATCGTGTCATTATTTTTAAAAATCTAATTTTTATATTATTATGTATAATTAAATAACTAACATAAGTAGAACGTTTGTGGTAAAATCTCGTTCGGATAAACCATTTTAATCTTTGCATTAAATTTATAAAAATATTATGTTGAAGATATGGTAATAATATATATTCAGTAAAGTATTAAATGACTTAAAAATGTACATATTTTATTCATGATTTTTTTTTTTATTTAAACAAATATACATAAATTATTACAACATTTTTGTAATTTTTTTCTTTTAATCTCACGATTATATTCGCGTAAATACGTGTGAAAATGTGATTTTTTTTTATAAATTCTATAACGAAAATGGAAAAAATGATTATATAATACACTGAAATAATTGGTTTTATATTTTATGTGTATCAGTAAATTTCAACCGTTTGGATTATATTTTTTTGATGACATATAACATTCTCAATACTAATACATTGTACATACAGATACAATCGTAAGTTTTTGACAGTTTTTTTTTTGTCTTTAAAGTTGATTTAAACTACTAATATGACATATGTGTAATAATTCATTTTTATGCTTTTATACAATTGAAAATTGTAACTCTTGTATATATACATATATATTATATTCAAAAACATCAAATTGTAATTAATTTAGTTTTGCATCTAGTAAGTACGCAAAAATGGATTACATTTTTGTTTTAAAGAAATTATTGGTGTTATATATTTTTCTTAACACTGTATAGTTAATTTTCTTGAACCACAAAAAACATATAAACTTAATATTTTTAAAAATTATTTCGACTGTGGGTTTGATACATTTCGGTATTCTGTGCCGGAAATCTATGCAAATAAGTTCAAGGTGAAAAATCGAGCGGTTGAGTAAAACGAAAATGGATTGTGTGGTTAACGTTTTTCAACGTCTGAAATAAATAATATTAATTTGTCATACTTTCAATCATATAATAATAATTATAGGAAATAGCGTATAATGGAATGTAACGTCTGACCTTGGGTGAATTTATCTCCTCGACATCTGATTAAATATCTACTATGTGCATATTGTTGTAAATTTAAAGCAATAATAATTAGTTCCCGAGCCAAACGATTTAAAAAAGACCGGAGTTATATAACCAAACTTGTCATTTTATAATTATATAAATTATAAACAGTATGTGCGGATCGTTTTGTTTTACCTTGTTTTTCGTATGTGGATAACCTAGAAATTCAAATTGAGGCCAATGTCAACGCACTGATCTTATACCGGTGTGTATAATTTTAATGAAACATAATTTTAAACGCGTTTCCTATATTCTAATAATGTTTTCTCAACAAGTTCACAAAGGAGATCAATACAAAAATAGGGTTAGGTATAGGTATATTGATATATGTATATATTTAAAATCTAATATATTTTTCCTCTTTAAAAGAATAATATAGGTATTACAGGGATTGTAGGTGTATAGAGTATACGTTATATATAACGTATTTTGAGAGATAATATTTTAAAATACTCGTTTTATTTAAATTCGACCGGAAGTCACATTAGAGAATTATTTAACTAATTGCATAAATTACGATTGCAATTTTGTCGTTCAACGTCCATTTATAGGTAAGTAACACAACAATATCTATACAATTATTAAAATATAATCGCAGAAAATGGTTAACATTTTTAATCGTTTAAGGATTAATTTGGAAATATTAGACAATTATAATACACGAACGGAAATAATCTTATGGTATGTGTTTTTTAACGATTTTTACCGGGTTTTTTTTTTAGTTATAATCAAATCTAACCTAAAACTTTAAATTTATGTCGTCTCTGACAACTGTGAATTGTCGTATCTATACATAATATAATAATATTGTAATGTTACATCATAAAATATCAATCCCGAACAAATATTTAAGTACTTTAGTACATATGATAAATTATTTTGCATATAAGATTGAAATCGTTTTAAAACAAAAATATATTTGGACGGATTATATTATTAAATAATACACTGAAAATGTGCGAGAAGTGACGATAGACGAATGTGTTTATAAAATACATACACGGTGACTGTACTTCTGTACATTCCGTGATATATAGTGATTCTGGCATGCGCGGTGATCAATTCAACGTAAGACAATCAGTATCTACTAGAAAGTATTAACTTTTTTTTTGGAAAATTTAAGAAACAAACACCTCTAAAATGTTACATGACCGTTTTAATCACTCTTATATTTGGGAATGAAACCATTTTACCACATTCAAACGATAATCTATATAATTTTTTAAAAAATTCCTTAAATAGATGATATTTTGAGAAAAAGTTAATACTTTACGAGATATCAGAGTGTCTTATTTATTACGTGAAATTAACAATAGAATTGTGAATTTATTATTATTTCGATTTTGATTTTAAACTTGGGGGATTTAAAAATTAAAACTTTCGTTTGAGATTATTTGCCTTTTCTATTTTTATAGATATTTTTGGAAAATTAATAAAAATAAAACGCAAGACTGACTTTACTGGTATCCAAAAACTATAGTTTGATTGAAGAATCGAGTATTCTAATAAAATCAAATTCAATAAAAGGGGAAAATAGAAAGAAAACGAATAATTCGGACAAGGAAATAGATCTGAGACATCAATTTACTATCGCGTCAATAAACTTGTGAAATATTATGTGACTTTATTCACAAATTGCATTGCAATTGCATTTTGTTGGCAACTTTACTAATGCCTGCAATGGTTGTCTATCAGTAAATAACCTATAGTCATAACCGCAACTAGATCACCAACTCTGGGGGTGCTAAAATTATGGACACATCAAAGACCTATGAAGTATATATCTCACAATTCTCTTTATACGACTTCTAAAATAGTTAAATACACATTTTATCTACAATTTTGTGTGTACAAATATTTATCATGATTAGTTAAACATTATTTTTCATACACACATGCAATGTTTGTATTTTGTTCTGCTCATTAACTATTATAAAATACATGGATAAAATATTTAGTCGTTACTATAAAAAACCTATTGAGTATTTTGAGGGTGCTAATTTTAAACTTGGTGTGCTAAAGACCCTCTAGCACCCTCCTAATTGCGCCTATGCCTTCAGTGCAAATAGCAAGTTTAACTTAACCAAGAAAATAGAACTGTTTACTAGTCGCTAGACTAAAATCTTAACTGGAATTATTATTAAATATAGTAGATATGTCCGAATTTTTCAAACGAAAAAAAAATTAGGAACTTGCTTTAGAAACTCAGCCAACTTTTTCTATCCTAGTTTAAATCCAATATACATAATAATATATGGCTATTGCTATTCATTATCTTTGTGGTATTTAAAAATGTGTCTACGATATATTATAATAATGTAAAAACGAATGGATGTATACGAAATAAGTTATTATCATTAATACAAGAGAACGTCACACCCGCCTGCTGCGTTGTCGTTGTCGTCCTTGTTTTATACAAGCGTGTGTCTCGCATATGAAATAATTGATTATCGTAATTGAAAAAAAAAAATGTGTCTCGAGTTAAAGGGATGGCGCCGTCATCGCATGCACGCGTGATAAATATTCGAAACTATTGAGCGCAGCCGAACGAAAATTTTGGAAAAAAAATTTACTTATTCCCAGAGTATAAATTAGTGGGGTTGGTACGATTTCTGTGAATTTAGCCGTCTAAATTTTGTAATGCATCACCATTTAATACTTAAGCAATTTACATCACTGGATACCTTGGTATCTTCAAATTCGATACAATATTGTATTGAATATAGACGTAATTTTTGTTGTTGATTTCGATATTTTATTATGCTGAAATGATAAGTGACTTATTATTAATAAATGTTGTCACGCGCGTTTTTTTTCGCGTTCAATTTGATTGACCTATCAAAACACAGTTTGTAGAGGGAACCCGGTATCTAAAGTAGTATAATTACAAGACACGCGGGTTAGGTTATCTGATATTTTAGTATTTGTTAATTAAATCACGCATATAGTATTATAATATAAGTAGGTATTAGATGCTTGTTTACATTATCAGTTTTGAATATTTTTTTGTAGCTTAAAAAACGATTTAGATAAATTTAAAAAAAAAACCGCTCTTATTGCTATTTAGATGTCACAGTCAATACAATTTTTCGGTAGGTATTCAATAATAATTATTGTTATACTGGACAGTGTAATGTGCAAATTATCGCGAAGAAAGATCACGAAGTAGGTACCTATATTTTAAGTACGAAAACTCATCAGCAGTTTTAGCTAAATTTTTTTTTGCATGCGCGAGACAGACGACAAAATATTCTCGGGCGCGTGGCCATTTAAGAGACGTGTCATACAAATCTATAGATAAATTTGTTTGTTATAGTTTTATAATTTAACAATTTAACATTTATTAAATTGTTGGAACCGGTAGTTATCTAAAAATAAAAATAAAACAAATGGAAATTAAATATTGTAGATCTGTATTAAATATTAATCAATCAATTTATTCAAAATACATATCAATATCATACAATATTATATCTTATTAATAACTGTACATTATTAAGTAGGTCACATTTTAAGGTAGAAAAAAAAAATACCGCACTAATACAATTTGTAATAAATACCTACCGTGATAATTCCAATTGTAAAGAAACTCTTTATATAAATCTGTTATTCGTTTAATATTTAACGTCTGATTTAAAAACATAAAACAATTGAAATAATTTTTTTCTAGATAAAAGGGTAACGTTACAAAAAATATATTAAAAAGTAGATGTAAAATAGATTAAATGATGATAGATTCAACATTTTCTTAGTTTATTAAAAATATACTTATTTCAGATAATATTAAGAAATAATAATAGTAATAATAAGTAAAACAACCACAAATGTTATAATTTATTACCTAGTTAGTTCAATAGTATACGAAATATCTATGTTAGCTATGGGTGCCCGTAAGAGGGGAGCAGGGAAGCAATGTCCCTTAAATTTAAGCGATTTTTGGCAATACCATAGAAAGTTTCAATTTTTGTTTTAAATGCAAATAATATAGTTTATATTTTATAATACATACAGTTTATACGATTATTTGAAATTTTCAAAAAAAAGAACATTAATGCTTCTAATCTTATTTATCAAATCTTCTTTCTAAATTGGAGTTCTTTACCCCCTGAATTAGTGCCTTTGATATTGGCCGGTAAGAAATGCGATGAAAATGTCGTTTTTAAAAAAAATTATAAATCTAAACCATCTGTGGTTGTTTGTATACTATTTCCATTGATTTTATGCAACTTTTTTTATTATACAGCACAAGATACTAGATAGGTGGGTGTTTTAAAGGAAATTTTGAAATTGGCAAAATAATAAGACCATTTTAATGTATATTTTTACATAAATTGAATACTGCAACACTATATTTTAATAATGTTCACGTTATGTTTTCTTATAGACTTGGGCGTGGTGACTTCGGCTCAGATCCAGTTCTTCAAAAACAAAGAGATCGAAACGTTGGCGGCTGACCGACTAAAAGATATGACGGCGATCGCTTACGATCCCATAAAAAAAGACGTGTACGTCAGCGACGCCAATCAAAAGGTCGGAAGTATATTTCGGATGAAGACCACCGGAGATGCGGCTTACACCGCCGTGGAACCAATCGTTGCGAGTATGTATTTATAAATTAAGCTGATTTCAGCGAATTTAATAATATTATTATAATGAAGTATTGTTGTCTGTTAATCGTCATCGGTCAAATATAAATTTTATTTTGTAACGGATTTGTATATCGTTTAAACAGTCTTCAGACATTTTAGTCGCTTTTCTATCAATTTGTTAAGGGGGTTGTAGTGCGTTTTCAAAAAGTTTTCCAATTTATAAAATTGAAAAATTTTGTTTATATTTTACCTTTTAATCTTACTGATAAAACGGATTTTCATTTTGAAAGTGGATTTTTATTGTTAAATGACGTAGGTGATTTTAAATATCTATTTTTTTCAGTCGTGATATTGATGAACAAAAATAGATTTTTATATCCTTCGTCATTAGTCATTAGTCATTAGTCACATACAAATTTCGGAATATTTAAAATCGGCTCCCATCAAAACTTAATATAAACCTTATCAATCAAACCAAATCATTTTTCAAAAATTAAAATCCGTTAAACCCAAATTACACAGTTTTTTCTAGTTTTTCGATCTAAATACCATTTTTTTTTTTCCATTGACTGCAATTCCTATAACCGTAGTATTACTGTATATAGTTACGAGCTGCAGTCCATATATAATATATTATCCAAGTTAAGGATATGTATATAAGGATATTATCTTTAATTGTTTCATTGAGTATTTAAGTACCAGCAATTACTTGTCAAATGAGTCTATAAGACGTATGATGTCTAATGTCAATGTTGACTCCACCTTTCTCATTTAATCACTTATAATTTCATATTTCAGCATTTTGTAATCTTTTTCATTTTTTAACCGTTTGCTTGTTATTACTTTAATTTTTCTTTTTTTCTCTGTATTTTTATATATATATTTTTTTTTTTTGGATAATATTGTAAATAAAATTCAAATTAACCTATTATTTACTCGTTATTGTACTAAAAGGGCCCAACCCGTATATTTATAATAAAATATTAAAATCTATTTGCATTTTTTAAAAACAGCCATCGTTTTGTGTATGTAAAAAACAATCTATACATGTGGAAAGGTTTTTTGTAATTTTTTTTTTTAAATTTTAATTCCGAATGAACAATGATAAGCTATATTAGCTGGCAAAACAACCCACCCCCTTCCTACGATAACATTTCAAGAATTTAACGTTTTTCCCGTTATTCTTTTTCTATATAATATAAGATTAAAGATTTTTTTTGTAAAATGTATTTTACGAGAATCTCAATGGTAAAAATTATATACCATTATTATGAATCATAAACATTTTATTTTTCCACTTAATTCTTTTAATTTCTTGTGAATTGTAAAATTAAAAACATGTTTTCGTACTTTGAAATAATAATCAATTTTTGGCGTCTTTTATAATTCGGGTTGATAACCTAAAAGTGGATTCGAATCTGTTTTATAGATTCTGAGCGTAACAAAAAATGTATCTATACTACAGGTATCTATAAATTATGATGTTTGTTGTTTTTCTTTGTACTTTTTATTCGTAATAATTGAGTAAAAACTAAGAAAAAAATCCAAAGGTAGTCTTAAAGATCTAACATTTTCATCAAATACTTAGGTCATTCTAGACGAGCGAGAAAATTTTCAAAACACTGGTGTTTGTAGAGCTATTTATAGCCATTTGATTTTTTTCGTGTTTTTTTTTAGTTTTTATTTGGTTAGGTTATACGTGGATAAAGTTAATCAATCAAAAATGCTCGAAAAACTAATACAAGATTAAGCGTAACTAATAGTTAAAAAACGAAAACAAAACAATTATTACCCCCATCTATAATGTTGTAATATTTTTATAAGCTTTATTAAGTTCAAATTTTGTTTAAAATCAATTTTTGCTTATATCTATTATTTTTTAAAATTAAAATTTTGTGACCAGTTCTAGTACTTACTTATTTTATAATATATAATATGTATGTATATGTCATACATTACATATTACGTATGTAGGTATATGGCTATATTATTATTTGGGATATTATATTTTTGTATATTTTACTAATTTTTTCGTTTCTTTTGCCGCAGAACAATCGGCTACTGTACAGGGGATGGCATTCGACTACCGGACGTCCATTCTATACTGGACCACTGGAAATGGTCTTTCCATCAACTACGTGCATGTACCGGAAAACGTAACCAAAGTTCCACTCACGGGGGTTGTCTTGTTTAAATTCAAGGACGTTATACCACAGGGCATCGCGATCGACACTTGCAGAGGGTAAGTACGATATTTAAGATTCTGGATGAAGTAAGAGATTTATTGGTATGATGTGTATTTTATTTTTTTAAACATTTTTTCTCTTCTTTTCTCTCTAGTCTATGAACTACTTCTTGCTTCAATCAAAGTATTACAAAATACCTATTTTGGCTCTTGTTAGTACTTTAGAAAGGTCATTTTTTGAAATTCTCATTAATATTCAAGATAACGAGGAAAAACTAGTTCTTTAGATTAAAAATAAGGTTGTCATTGATAATCGTTTTTATTCATTTTTTGTTATTATTAAATTTGTAATATTTTAATCTTTTTTGAACAAACGTTATTGTCGTGAAGACGCATATTGTTGAACAAGTAATCGTTTTTCGTTAGCAATGGTTTATCGGTTTTTATATATTATATAAATTAAAGAACTTTATGTGTTTTACATTCCCAATTTTCCACCTATACAACAATGACGCACCTATCCCCAGTATGACACTATCAGCTCTTCTTTGTTTGTCTCGTGTATAATATAGGGTGTCCCACGACGATATATTCATTGCGATATCTCATGTGTAATGAAGGTTATGAAATTCTTGTTTTTTTTTTCTAAAAAATGTAATATTTTGAAAAATAGTGAACTAAATAATACCATTTAGTGTTTAAAAATCATCTCATCTCTTTTTCTGATCAGTTTTGAAATAATAAAAAATACACTATTTTTTTGTGAAAGTATATATTTATCTATATTAAAAATCACGAGATTAATAAAAATAAATGGTGAAACGTCAACATTTTCCAAATAATAAACTCTATAAAATGGCTACCTCTTTTCAACTTTTTTTTTTTTTTACTGACTTCAGAAATATTTTTAAAAACTACGAATATTATTATTGTTTTATTACTTCCGTTATAGTATCTCGAATTTAGATAATGGTACACAGACTAAAAGGTCGATTAACCGTGTTTGATATGTGTTTTATGCTTTTTACATTTTTAAACGATGATTATTCTCAACGGGAAAAATATTGAAACAATATGTTCTATGGAGATTTGATATCATTAAAGTTTAAATGAGGTGCATCATATATCATAATAAAATTCAAATTTCGTTTCAAAACGTAATGAATTAAAAATAGTTTCTTAAAACACGTCTGGTTCCTATTATTTTGCGGTTCTTTATTTATGTAATTATTAGGTATTGACAATTTTTTAACAGTCTGACAGTAGTGTATAGGTAAAGATTAAGCGTTCTAGGAAATGGTACAGGTTTAGGTTTTGTGCTCTATCTACTCGGTAGATTTTTTCTAGAATATATTTATTTTACATTTTTCCCATCATAAATTAATCCATGGAGATTTTAAAGTAACCCCCCCCCACTTTAAATTTAAATTACATAATTTAATATAGTTATTAATTAGAATATTTTACATTAAAAATACAATACTTAGTATTGAACATGATACGAATTATAAATATTACAATTACAGTTCTGGTGACCTGAGGCAGTTTCTCCACTGAATGGTTATGGATATAAAAAAAATAATTTATAAAACGGACACATTAATTGCACTTCACTCCAAATCTAACTAAAAATAATTATAATCTCTAATTATACATGTTTTCTTAAATTTAGTTTGTTTTATTAGTTAGGATTAAAAACTTATGATTTTTATATAACTCCCTCGAATAGAAATAACTGCATACATTTTCCGCGACTAAATCTTTAACATTCCTTTGGTGGTAAGATTAGGTAACAAAAACGTAGATAAGTCACTATAATCTAAATAATATATTGTATAGTAAGTTGTAGGCACCTATATATTGATTAGATGCACCATTATACTTAGATAAGGTTTCGTGTATTATATTATATATTATTAGACCACGTATACCCAATTTGAGGGGCGAATTATACAACCTTAATAATACAAATTGTTAAGTTATATCATGAAAATAATAATTATTACTACAATAATTTATTAAATAAAAACATTTAAATAATGTACAAAAAAAAAAAAAAAAAAAAAAAATAGATCCTACTAAAATCTAAAACGGGAATAAAATCATATTTCCCACTAACCAAGTTTCGTATGTACAGCCGAGTTAACACATTTGATTCGTATATAACAGGCGTAGCTAAACCTTTTATTTTATCTTAGAGTTCTAGTATTTGTTACGTACTCGTCGGTTTGAAAGTTATAATGTACCGTATTATACTACTATACACTTAATTCGTTTATATTCAATCTGGTTGGTTTTTGAACAGCTTTAATAAAATAACTATAACGGCATATGCATTTTTAGGTATTTGTATTGGACCAACTGTAACCATTTGAACGCCACCATAGAACGATCGCGACCGGATGGGTCGGAACATACGGTGTTGATCCACGAACAGCTGTTCCAACCGCTGGGCATCGCGGTCGACATGGAGAATGATCTACTATACTGGAGCAATGAACGCGAAGGCATGTATTACAGTATCGAAGCCAGCAATCTGGATGGCGGTACCAGGAGGACACTGATCCATGGCACGCACCACCAGCCGTTCTCGATCGCTCTGGATGAACGGGATATATACTGGAGCGATTGGGTAAATGATGTTGTGTGGACCATGCCCAAAGATTCGTTCCAGGGTGGCGTACAGCCCACAGCGGTTGTCAAATACGAATCTATTAAAACGCCCATGGGACTAATAACGTCGACTCCGGCAATCGTCAATGACACGCAGTGTATCGCGGTGACCAGAACGCAAAATGTGAGTATTAATATTTTTTAAAAATATCCTGTCAGATTTGTATTTATCAATTTGTATTATTACAGAACACTTGGTTAATGACGGAGGCGACGCTACAGGAAACTGTATCGTACGAGGCACTACGAAACTACTGCAAAAATAACGGGATCTTGCATGCCAATGGGACGTGCACTTGTGCTTTGGGATTCGAGGGCAATTTCTGTACGACGCACGTGTGCCAGGATTACTGCGTTTCAGGGACGTGTACAGTAGATAGTATGGGACGACCACAGTGTCATTGTCCAGCAGATTTTACTGGTGAAAGGTGCGAACTTCAAATGTGCACGGACAGGTGTCAAAACGGTGGTCAATGCCTTCTAGACAAGGATGGCCATAACCGGTGTGACTGTCCAATTGGTTACACAGGCAACATGTGCGAGAACAAACTATCGGACTTTATCAACGAATTGTGTTCAGTATATTGTCAGCCGTCCAATCCTTTGATGAAAACAGCATCGGCCGTTTGCAGGTACATAATCAACCAGTAATTAAAATGTGTTTAGATATCAGCATTTTTTAAACAATTTTCCAGTTTTGTATTTTTTTTAAAAAAAATATATAATAATAATAATAATAATAATACAATTATATAGATTCTAGAAATTCGATTAAATATACAATGCTGAACCTGTCCTGTCGATACAATTCATTATCGAACTTTCCCATTCTCGTCCGCCATTTCAAAATTTTAAAGGTACAAAATTCCTGTGGCCTTTATCTATAAGCCCAAGTCCATTATTGTTTGTTTCCTGGTGCAAACTGTGGTCACTTATAGTAGACTTAAAGCAATTTTTATGTCCAATTTTGTGGTTACAATCACCTAAAATAATCTGTATCCTTCGTCCTGGTATCTCATTCAATGTATTATCCAGAAGCGCAAACAATTTGTCTTTTTCATTCTCATCCTTTCCTTTTGTAGGAGAATAATGTATGTTGATGAACACTAATTTCGTGTTAATAATTAATAATTTTATTCTGGTGTTTACTACTTAAAGTTGACCACTGAAGGTAGTAATGAGTTATTTACTGAAAAAGAAAATGCCTGTACTTGTCTTCTTTGGTCTCATGCTCCGAAAAAGATAGTCGTGTTGTTCACTGATAAAAGGTCTGTACATTGTTTCCTGTAATGCTACTACTCCTAATTCGCACTTCTCTATTTCTTTAACAACCATTGTTACTACTTCGGGTTTAAATAAAGTTCGTACATTCCAACTACCAAAACGTAAAGCCTATGTTTCCATATAATATCCTTAAATCTACAGTTCCGAGACAAATTTTTAGTGCCCTGAACCCTAGAGTAGTGTTGTTAGCCCTACACCCAACACCTAACTTAGAGGACCTGACTCTCTAAACTATTTAAGATTCAGGGAGGGCTATTTCAATGCACCTCAGTACATTAGGTGATGGGAACACTACTTTTCCAAATCCATAATAATAGTGTTTTCGTCCAAACAGTTGCGAAGAATACATCAGTGGACATCATTACGATTACTCAAACATGGAAATATCATCGTGTAAGCTCAGCAAAACCATAATCGCCATAATGGGCTTCCTGTTTGTGATGGTTGCCTGTTTCGGTACCACTACCCTGGTACTAGCTAGAAAAGTGAGGTTCCTAGGACGGCGACCCAGAATCAAGAAACGTATCGTGGTCAACAAGAGTATTACACCTCTGCAGTCGTGCAGGCCTCCCCAACAGCAGAATCAACAGTGCGAAATAACCATAGAAAACTGTTGTAACATGAACATTTGTGAAACGGTAAATATCCAAGTTTCTTCTATATATTTATCCTATTTAAGTAGTACCAGTCACTCACTTATTCTCGTCCAAAACATCTCCATCACATATTATTCATTTAGTCCAAATCAACTCCCCTAACATTAGCCACTCTTTTGTTGGCCTATCTATTGTAGTTATTGTCTACAATTTTTTTATTGGTCACATCTCACTTCCATTTATTTTTATTATTATTTCATCCCTTTTATATAGTATATTAATAGATAATTACTTTTTATTTTTTTAGCCGTGTTTTGAACCAGATTACCGGCCACCCAAATTAGGTGGACTCCTAAATTCGCTGGGCAAATCAAAAAAAGAAGACAAAGCTAACTTGCTAAGCAATACGGACATGTCAAGTGAAGATGAAAAACCATCATTTTAGTCCACAGTATACATTATAATATAGTCTTAAACGAATTGAATTAATTTATTTTTTACCGCGATTTACTTAAGGGGCAGCGTATATTATTATTTTTTATTATATCGTCGTAGTTGGACAAAAATTTGTGATATTTATATTGTTCCAAGCCACCAATGATTGTTTTTTTTTTATGGTCGTGGAAAGGCATCATTTTATGGCATAATACCTAATAATAATTTTTTTTTTTATAGAAATTTATCTATACTAAGGGTTGTATTATATTATTTTCTATATCGAAACGTGCCGTGTGTTTGGTAAAACTATACAGACAGAGATTTTATAGTTTTCCACATGTACGATACGTTTGACATGAAATGTGTGCGCCGCTTGTTTATTTTGATTAGACAGTCGGCTCTCAAACGTATCATTATTATTATTATCATTATTTTATTTGAAATTTTTTTTCAAACATGGCGTTTTAAATACAAGACTGGAAATTTGTATCTTAAGTATTTTTTTCGTTTTTATTGTTAAAACTAGTAAAATTAGTGTATTGTATCGTTACATGCTGAGTATTTATATATTTAATATACATATATATAATATTTATACATTTTATGTTGTAAATAAAATATTTATCTTTAAAAATAAAATCGTATATACTAGATAATAATACGAAATTAAAGCTACACAATTATTGGTTTTCTGGTTGCAACACTTATCTACACTATAGTAGATTAAATTGAGCAATTTCACAAATTTAACAGAAACCATTTAATTTCCTATTATTAACACTATATTCCTTGGTATTTTGATAATTCATTTGCCAAAATAAATAATATGTTTTGAATGACAACTCAATATTGACCATTTTTTTTAAAATTCCTATTCAAGTTGTAAATTATATATAATGTGTATGCACAACACTTGGCTAGTGTCAATGTGTATAGAGTGTTTTTATTGAAGCTAGACTTGATAAACTAGTAAATATTAATTGTGTAGACCCCGATGGTTTATCTGGGTCTTTTTTGTACAACATCAAGTCTGTTATGTTTCCCATTATTCCTTCTATTTAAGCGTTTACTAGATGAAAGTTGTTTCCCCTCTATGTGGAAAATTAGTTTTGTCACTTTTGTCCATAAGTCAGGAGGTAAATTTGACATATGTAACTATAGGCGAATCTACATTCGCTAAAGTGTACTAAAGCTTTATTTCTGTCCAAAATTCAGAATTCTATTAGTTCTATCCTTATAGACAAGCAGTATGGATTCAGACTTGGCCACTCTGCCCTTACTAACTCTCTTATATTCAAGAATTTCATTCTTGATGCGAACACTATACACAAGTTAATGCCATATTCACTGATTTTCAGAAAGCGTTTGATCACGTCGACCACAGATTCCTTATTGGTACTTTACATAAGTCCAGGTTTGGTGATCCATTATTATCCTGGATAAGGTTCTAACTGTCAGATAGAGTCTAATGGGTTAAAATAATAGGGCATAAAGCTGCTGTCACTTGTGTGCCATCTAATGTCCCCTCGAGGGAGCCACTTGTCTCTTCTTATCTTTGCTGTTTTTATTAACGGTGTTGAGTGAGTTTTACTCAACTGTAATTTTCTTATTTTTGTAATCTGAAATTGATTCAGAAAATATCCTCAATCAGTGACTGCACTGCGCTTCAAAACGATTTAAATAACGTAGTTGAATGGTTCTCTCACCTTTGCCTGCATTTTTATATTGGCAAATTCAAGTCTGTCATTTAGTAGAAGGCGCTCTAACATTGATTATTCGTATGACATTGGTGGAACTTCTCTATTATTGATTACTTCTGTTAAGATTTAGGAATTACCTTGACGTCCACCCTAGGCTATTACCCTCACATTGAGTCCACGTGCTGTAAAGCTCTCAAAGTTTTAGACTTAATAAAACGTGTTTCAAGTGAGTTTAAACTTGTTGCTTTTATAAAATCTATTTACTGCTCCTTCGTTCGTTCTATTTTAGAGCTCTCTTCAGTGATTTGGGACCCGTACATTGCTTCTGGGTCTTGTGATATTAAGAGAGTGCAGTGCTTTTTTTTTCCTTTGCGGCTTACGTTTTTAAAATCGAACATAAACAGCACTATTACTCTAGCGTCCTTAGTTTCCTTTCTATGGATTCACTAGCGGACAGAAAAGTGTCTGCTAATAATCGATTCTTGTCCAAGCTACTTGATGGCTCCATTGACTACCCTTCCCTCCTTTCCCAGGTGAACGGAACTCCTTCGTTCTTTGCGTTCTCACTCCCCTTGTTTTGTCCCGATTCATTCCACGAACTTTGGTCGTAACCATCCTTTATATCAAATGATGTGATTAGCTAACGAAAATGCCTCTTTTTTAAATTTCTAAATCTCTATGTTCCAGTAATAATTTAATTTTCCTTTTGTATTACGTTTGTAAGCTACCCCCTTTAAATAATATTATGTTTAATGTTTAAGTATTTTATGTAATATTACTTGTATTTATATGCGAAATTGTTAATAAATAATTAATAATAAAAAGATCTAATACTGCTGATGGGTGTACTATTGTTGTAAGTTAGAAGTTGGGAAGGTAGGATACATATAGTTATTTAATGTATAAAAAAACTGGACAATTTACGAAATTTATTATTTTCCAATTGTGTATATTTCAGCTTTTCAAAACATATATATGACTAAAATCCACTCAGAATCGTTTTTCGTTAACAAAGATTAATTGTTGCATACAGATATACATTAAATACCCTCTATATCCTACCTTCCCAACTTTTCACCTACAACAGTGGCCCACTCATCGTGCAAAATATGTGAAATGCTAAATTTTCTTTTTTTGGTTTTAATTTCGTAGCCGTGTAAAACGTTTCTATTAAAAATCTAGCTCCAAACAAAATCGACAAACATTTTATATAGTATTTTGATTTTGTTGGTTTTTTGGGGAAATCATTTTAGATTCTGAGTAGAGCAAAAAAGCTGGTTTTAATGGTTTTACAAAGATGTTTATTGTATTTTATTTTTTTATTTGTGAACAACTTTTCCACCACTAGACTTGCTCAGATTTCTAAGTGAAACACTTTTTCTGAAAGGAAATCGGTGTGGGGAGGTAACTTGAAAAAGGTAATTTTTAATTTTCTTAAGAATTTTCTCATCAAATTTAAAAAGCCGAAAAAAAACGGAAAAATGTACGAAATATATTAAAAAGACGTTCTAGGATAATGGGGACGGATTACTATTATAGATAATTTAATGTTTCCCTGTAAGTAACGATAAACCATTGTTTATGAAAAGACGATTCTGAGCAGAATTCAGTTAATAGTGATGCTTTGTTAACAATATATGTTATTTTATAGTAAAATAATTAAATAAGCTTTATATATTTTCTTTAATAATATTTGTTTAATGTTATACCGATTTTATCAGTTTTCTCATGTTTTATCCTGGTTTTTCACATTTACTGGGAAAACACTTGGAGAAATTGAAAAATGATCTCTGACGGACCATGTGGATACGGAACGGACATGTATAAACATGCCCATTTCGTAATAAGTAAACAAACTTTAAATGTCGGACACGGAACGGACGGCACTGATACTGAACGGATGTGTGTAAATAGACCTTAAATAGACCTTTACGGCCTTTTTTTCAGTGCGTAACTTTTCTACCAGACATTTTGCTACAACAAATTTTCCTTGTAGTTTTAATTATATTTAGGAAATATCGCGTAGATTGTTTTTATTTACATAAATCCTTAAACCATTCATTTACATAAATATTTAGCAAATTTTTCTCTAATTTTCAAGTATAGCACTTTTTCTGAAAGGAAATCTGAGTGGGGTGGTACTTAGGGAAGTCATTTTGTATTTTCTTAACTGTTTTCATAATAAATGGGTAAAACCGGAAAAATGTACGAAATTTATTATTTTCAAATCGTAAATATTACGGCCTTTTAAAATATGTATAACCAAATTCCTTTTTCGTTAGCAATGATTAATCGTTGTGTACGGATATACATTAAATTTTCTACTATATCTTACATTCCCAACTTCTCATCTACTGTCTACAATATTATTTCATTATTCGAATGTATTCAGTTAAAAGTATTGGTAAACATTTAAACCATTGTTTTAGCTATTTATAAACATTTTAATTTTGTTTTTTATTTGGATGGTACTTTGTGAATAAAATTGATAGACTAACCAGAAATGCTTGAAAATTGTACAGGAAGTTCATTATAATGTGTCTTACTTAGTGGTCAGAAAAAAAAATTGAGTGTAATGATTTTTAATTAGAATTTAAAATCAAATTTTAACGAAAATCATAAATATCATGCCTTTTAAAATATGTATAACCGAATTTCTCTCCGAATCGTTTTTTTTTTTTTGTGAATAATTTATCGTTTGTCAGGTATAAATTAAATAGCTATATGTATCCCATCTTTCCAACTTCTCATCTACAACTGTGGTCGCACTCATCCCCAGTATCAGCTCTTTTTTTATATTACGTTTATTGAATTAGGTATGTAGATTGTAGCAGATATATTCATAGTTCATACTATGGAAGTATTGGTAGGTATGTAATTTAATATCCTTTTAGATGTACTTACACCAGAATATGTTTACATAACAAGAAGTGGCAGATGTTACAATCATTTCATAAAGACACTTAAAATAAAAATGGTAGCAATCTATCAATTATATTAGGTATATTTGAAATCATTATAGAGTATTAGAATTCAGTAGATAAACCTAAATCCAAGTGTCACTTGGTAAGTAAAAATGATTTAATACCTACCTATATGTTCTGTAAGGTGATATATTATATTTGCAATAGATTACCTATAGAGGAAAACTTTTAATATGAAGAAACACTAACAGATCTATATTTACTAGTGAAGATCCCACCTGCATGTCTTAAAAAACAACAGTTATAGGCTATGATGTTAGGCTTTGAAAGAAAATAAAAAAGGTCTCGCAACGAAAATGAATAGGTATAGGCATTGGTTTAAAATACATTTATTAGTGTCGGGAGGAAAAATAATTTTGTCGAATATTACTGCGCTATCTCACGGGAGTCCGCATAACTATAATTTTAGTCAAATATCTCAATGCCGTGACTATGTCTATTTTTTAATCAATGGGATAGGTAACATAATTAATTGTTATTTAATTTATCATAAACGGTAATAGGTTCAGATGTGTATGTGTTGGTCGCGGAAAAGTAGACTCTGATTTATTAATTATTGCATTCTCCTTTAAATGTTTTTGTTAAATATCCATACCTATAATGATAATCTAACATTTCTTAAAAAAGCTGGTGACTACACTTTAATTTTAAACTACCCAGGCTAGTAGGCTCTTTATAGATTGGTTTACTGTATTTTGATGTTTTGCAATAACATTAATATTTTGATGCCGATCTTTTGACAATTAATTTCATTTTGATTAAAATTGTATTCCACCCTAAGGCAACACATAGCTTGCTGGTAGACAGGCCTGCATAGGTATATATAAAATATCAAATAACTTAAATAAATAGGTATCTACTTAGAATTTATTTCATTAAGAAATGCCAAAGCTTGGCACTACCTAGTTAAAACGTTGAACTGCATGCGTAAAATAACAATAAGCACCTAGGTAACTAGTTATTTTTATTTCTAAAATCCAATTAATATTCTGTAAAACTGCTGAGCATCTATTAGTATCCGTGATCATAATTTATTAATAATGAATATTAAGTTTTATCAAAAAAACATTTTCCATATTATTTTTTTAATTTTCTTGTAATATAAGGTTACCACAACTCATAGCTATTTCTATACAAAATCACGATTATAAATTATAACCCTGGATGGAGCATCCCACATGAAAACGTGTTCCGGTCAGTAGTAGATTATCAACATTTTTCTGGTAGGGGACCTAAAAAATTATATGTATTTCAAAGGTATCTCTATTAATAGATGCCACTTTTTTGGATGATAGTTAATGAAATGTTATCGGTTTCTGGGGTGTCCAGATCCCTTGGACACCAACATAAATCCGCCACTAGTTCCGGAGGGTGAAGTTTTGTTTCAAGGACAGAAACATGTGAGATTATAATAAATGAAGTGTTTTAACTTTTAATCAGCTTTCCTCAGAATGAAGTACTGGTGTTATCAACAGCAGTGTTGAGGATTTTTCAAACTTATTTTTCTTGTTAGGGATTTGTCAACTGTTAAGGAAAAACTGAGGATTTTGGTAAGACATCCAATTAATTTTAACTATTGTTAAAGAAAAAATAAAAATATAATGCATTATAATTTTTGTTCCTCAACACTTATCAAAAACTGAATTTTCAGGGATTAAAATCTTGGAGTTTTCTATATGTATGCACTGTTGCACCTAGAGCGAGCAAATGATATTCATAGATGGATAGATTTTCTTATTATCTGTGTCCTGTGATAATATTGTCCAAAAATTGGCCATGATGATTAAATATTTGCATATGAATCACATGGAACCAGATATATAAAACAATAATTGTTTCATAATATATGTGCGTGGAACATAATTGTCAGTTATCAATTAATTTATCTTCGATAATAATAAACTGGTTACAAAAATTCTAGTCATTCGTCCGTCAAATTACATCTCACGAACATCATGGTTTTTGAATGGGCCGTTGTATTGTCATTATATATACATATATATAAAAAAAAAAAAACAAAAAAAAAATAGTCAAAATATTATTATTAAATCAATAATAGAATCTATCTCAGAGAAAATTCAAATTAAAGTAATTTATCCAGATCTCGAGAAAGCTTCCTATAAAGTAAATTAAAATGTTTTACTATTAAAAATTAAAAATTTTTGTCACATGGATTCTATGACTCCCCTTCTTTAATTTTTAAGTAACCGAATTTAAATTGTAAATATGAAAATTTCAATTCAGAAATATTTGAGTCCTATCTGATATTCCTCAGGGAGATTATTTATAAAACGTTATTTTTTCTATTTTTTATTACTAGATAATGTTGATTCTTTACGAAGACTTAAAATTTTCATACGAGGAATAGAGATAATGGCATACTGTTAAATAAAATATGATTCATTATAATTGCACTTGAAATAATTTTACCATGAAGTATGTTACTAATGCAATGTTCATAGAATGTTTTCATTCTGGATATTATTTTGTTCATTATTTTTGTATGTATACATTTACCAGAAGCATATTAAGTGCAAATAGGGGGGGAGTTTTAAAGGCAGCTCCCCCAAAAATGTCAATTGTTGTGCTATTTTTCACATTCATTGAGTTGAATATGTCTAAAGGCAAAATATAAATAAATAAGCTAACCTTGTGGCAAGGTTCATAAATTTATCTATAAATATTAATATAATAAATAATTAACAAAAAAATAGACATACTTTGCATGTGGATGCAGCTACTTCTGTAGGTGGGAAGTTGGGATGGTAGGATACATACGTTAGTTTAATGTATATCTATAAGCAAAGATAAAACATTGCTATCAACAATACATACATCGTATTATGGTAAAATAATTACATAAATGTGGGTTTCCATGACAACAGTGATTGTTTAACTAAAATTTAAAATAATAAAAACTTAATAATAACAATAAATAAATAAAAATGATTGCCAATGACAACCTTATTTGTAATCTTATAATATTATTTAACCTAAAGAACCAGGATTTCCTCATTATCTCGAATATTAATGAGAATTTCTAAAAAGGTGTTATACTTGATAATTGGAGTATGCTTTCTAGTAGGAAGTGTTCATATAAAAAAAAAAAATTTACATTTTTATTAATGGTAGTAATAAAGAAATTAATAATTTAAGAATTGTTTAAAATATTAATAATACCAAAATGATAATTAAGAAAATATACTTACTATGAGGAAAAACTTAAGTTTAATTATATTTTTATTTAAAACCTACAATACAATTTATTTGGAGATTAATGCAGTTTATAAGAAAACCATTCAACCTTGAAAACAATTTTATATCACAAGACTATTTAAACTATAATATAATCAATTTATTCCCAATATACTCCTGGGAATGTACTTCGTGTTTGTAAAATGCGTATTTCTTTATATAATTGCAACGCATGTCCTAGTGTTAAGTCCATTTTATTTGTAACGTCATCACGTTTAATCAATAGCAAAGAGCAACCATCAATTTCCTAAAATCATAAAATACAATTTAAATAATAGCGCATGTGTTTTTCATGATAAATTAACATAATTAAGTACAATTTATAAGAATTAAATGTGAAGTTGTAACTAGCTTAAATTAATAATCGTTTAAAAATACTTTAAAAAAATATTTACTTTATAATTCAATACTCAATAAGTATTTTCACTAAAATGTTTAACAAAACTGGAAACTTACATGTTCAAGAATTTTTGTACAAATTTTTGAGTGTAAGCGTTGTGATAAATAGTTATACACTTCAAATTTATCCCATGTTTTTACATCTGGGACCTTCTCGTTTCGACCAACCCATAATTGTTTTGCATAGTTACCCCATTGTGGTCCAAGGGGTAATTCACATGGTTCTATGTAGTTTAAATCTTCATCTTCTTCAGACGTCACAAATGAAACATTTGCTGAACGTGTGTTGGCTAAATCTATAAAGATGTTTTGCTTTAATTGATATAATAAAGACATAAAAGATAAATAGGATAATAAAATAAAATAAAGTGTATAAGCCATAAGTATTATTATAGTCTGTCCAATAAATACACAAACTGGGTTTCTACAACATTTCAGAGTGCAAATATTAGTGTACCAACTACCCAATCTTTATATACTAGTATTAATATTCGTTTCAATTTTTTTTGCTCTTTGTCAAAGATAGAAATTAACAAACAGAACGAGTGATAATCAAATTCTTGGTGAAATTCGGAAAAACATTATATATTATGTACATTTTATAAGCTTATACATTTTATTTTATTATATAAGTATTACATATTTTTATTTTTATAAATAGGATAGGTAACCTTCAACTTCCGGTATTTTTTGAGTAGCCAAAGTCATGCAAGGTATACATATATAGTCAGATTCTACAAATTGCATTGGTTTAATATCATACGATTCATAACAATGCATATGTAAACCAACTTTGCAAGTAATACAGCGACACAATATCTTCTACAAGATTTGAATAGTTTAGTTTTTGGCATAAAATTATAAAAAATATTTATTTTATTTTACTGACCGACTCACAGTCATCTTTAAGGCATTTGCTACAATGTTTTTTTCTACAATTTGTACAAATCCAAGGACATGAATTCAGTTTGAATTTCCACATTGGCTCATATACAAACAAACAATCTTTATGGGCTAAAAATATACATATATTAACAAAAATGTCAATAATAAATTTATTAATTTTTAAAATGAAATTTAGTAATACTTTTAATAAGACAAATTGGACAATCAAGAAATATACATTTTGGTGTATTTGTTGAACATATATAACAATTATTTGATTTTTCTTCAATTATTTCAGATTTTACAGGAGATGTTGGAGGTGAAGGTACAGGTACATGTGAACTAGTATTGATATCATTAGATGAATTATCAATTAACAATGATTCATTAACTGGTATCTGTTTTAATTTAGAATCTGGACTCTTTTTTTTATCTAACTGTTTTTTATTTTTTCTTTTTGGTAAATAATTGTCAGATGGATCAAATACTACTTTGGCTTTCTGTAATAAAATGTTCAATTAAAGTAACAGTATAATATTATATTCAAGTAGCAATAATTATTAAATATTATGTACCATATTTCTATGAGGTCTAGACACTAAAGGCTCATCGTTAGAAATTGACTTCTTTTTAGGCATATTGGCTTATATAACAGCGACTAAAATAAATACATCAAAATAGTTTAGAGATGAAAACAAATAGTATAATAAATTGTAAGAATTGAAAAACCAGTGATAAAATTCGTTTTAGGCTCATTAGTGTTATAAAAGAGAAAAATTAAAATTATTATTTTTGTTTCAGATTCCTTTTATTATTTTCATTGCTATACAATAATAATTTAATTTTATATGTTGGGTACCTTCATCAAAATTGTTTGTAGAAGGTAATACTATTAGGTATTGCATTCACACATCCTCAATAATAAGAATAAACATCTTTTCTGACAAAATATGATATTAAAATATACATAGGTAGGTAATATAATATAGGTACCTATATTATTATATTAAAATGGGTATGTTTTAATAAATATATAAATGTTTATTACCCAAAATGTATTATAGCACGATGAAAAATTATAATCTGAGTAATTGTAAATATTTGAATTGAAAGTGTAATAAATACGGCAAAAGCGATTTGTTTGAGCCAAACGCTAAAACTTGTTTTAATTTTTTTATGTTGTGTGTACATATAATAAATAATAAGCAATCGGATATTGGCGCATACTTACATATAAAATGACACGAAAAACAAAATAATAATGTTAATAGTCGGCTAACGAAACTATTATTGTTTTTGTTTTTTATACAAACGAAAGAAGTAGGAAATTTTTTATGTAGGTAGGTAAGAAATATTTTCTTTTTGCGATTTGTGTAGCCACCAGCCGAGTATTGAGTAGATGAAGTAAACCGTTCGTGTCGTTATTTCGGTACGATATCTATGTTGGCGAACCTGTGTTTTACCATTCGCTTTATTGTTGTTAAAGACATGCTGGAATTGCTCACATTTTAAATTGTTCAGCGTGTTTGTACGCATAACGATAGTACGATTAGACAGCTCTATTTAAGATAGCATTATCAGATTTATATTACACAGCCACAATGCCACACAGCATGCCGCATTCTCCTACACTTTCCATCAGGACTGTAATCGCCACGGCCGCCGCTAGTTGTGTATTGTGTTTGCTGATAGCTGATAACTGATAGGTATTTCGTTTGTTTGTGTTTTGAACGTGTGTGTTACTCTATGGTATACTGTTAGCATTGTATACTGTACTTGTACTATATAGGTAGTGTGTTACCAGTAGGCAACAATATTGCTGTCGTTGTTGACGTCGTCATTGTCTTCGTCGATCAATTATTATTATAGGTACTAGCATCAAACAACCGAATATTGAAATACGCATTACGTACGTTTGCTACACAAATACGCCGACCACACGACGGCGTTCGTTTCCGCGATATTACTTTTTTTTGAAAGTTTGTTAGCTGCCGTCGTTGACCAATTTGTATATTTCCCTTTCGAAAGTGAACCCGCGCTCGTGTTTCTTGCGCGTTTAGGCGTCTACCGGTGTTCTAATCTTGAACTTCGGTGTACAATGGAATTATTACGGAAACAGTAAGTCGTCGTCTTGAACGTTGTCTGTTACACGGTAACCTGGTTTTGGATACCTACCTTATTGATCTAACGCCAGTGACTGATCATATTATAGTCATGTCCTTTCAATGTAGTCGTGAAGTATACGCGAAACGGTCAGATATAATGGGACGCAAAAGAAAAATACCTTCTAGTAAATCCCGTCCCGCCGTGTTGACCCGTTCCATGGCCGCCACTGCCGGTACCACAAATAACGGCCAGACATTAGTTGCCAATGATTTAGATGGTCCCTCCACAGAAAATGAGATGGAAATGTTGACAAAATATAATAATACCATAGTTCAGCTGAAAAGGCTTCAAATGATGTTGGTTCATCGGGATAAAAAAATAAAGATAATAAGTCGTCAAAATTCATATGTGAGTGATTGAGTGTAATAATGTTATAATAAGCATACCTATTAGGCTGTATAATGTCTTATTCTTAATGGTTTTATGAGCTTTTAATGAATTTTTTAAACGTTATTGTTTTTGTTTATTTTACAGCTAAAATTACAATTAACCAGAACTGACCAACACTGTACTGAGTTGAATTTAAAAAAAAAGGATCCCCTAAATGAATTACCATGTACACCTGTGTCTTCAACATGCTTGTCTGGTACAGTGGATTCTAATTTGGAAGATTTGAATTCTACTGAACCATTAAACAAACAAATTGTTGAATCAAAAAACCTTGCAAGTTCTCAAGGTGATAATGTGGTATTAGACTCTAGTTTAGATCAATTAAAACCCAGTCCGAAGAAACAACACAAAACAAAAAATACTTCGACTAGACCACGTAATGTTTTGATTTATAAGTTTTTTCAATTGAGTTTGTCATATTGAATTTATTTATTATGTCCATTATTTAGGGAATCTAGGTAAAATGCGAGAGTTCATTGTTGTTACTGAAAATGGCGGATATTACACATGTCTAGGGGATTTTGATCCTAATGAAGATAGAGATGTGTGTTATAGAAAACGAGATTTAGAAGTAAGCCTTAAATTTAATGAATATATGTTTATTTTTAAATTACTTATATTTCATTAGTTTTAAATTTAAATCAATTTAAATTATTTTTCTATAATATTTATCAATACAGTCATATATTAAACAAAAATGTTTAGCTGAGTTATTACTCATAAAGTTTTAATAGGAAAATAAAGAAAGAATTTGTTTAAGTTTTTCATTCTTCTATAGCAGTGTTTCTCAACCTTTGTATTATGGTGACACACTATTAAAATATTTCATACTTTGTGACACACAACAATAAAAATAAGATTAATGGGTAATATTAAATATTTATAATTAATTGATAATGTAAACTTAAAAATAACTAAGAAAAATATAACAAAAAACAGTATTTTAATGAGAAATTTGTGACTGATATTTCTTACATGATGTATCAATACGTGGTGAAATCTTTGACAAGACGACTCTTAACTCCTCTTTGACATTAATTAATCTTTCTCTTTTTTTTTGTTTTTAATTTTGTTTAATGCAGAAAAAGCTATCTCGCACAAATATGATGTTGAAAATGGTGGTAATAACACGGAAAGAGCCAATTTTGTTAAACTTGGATATTCTTTTTTTGTGTAAATCCAAAATTCGCCTAGCTTGAGCTCATTAATCTTCATTTGAAGAGTGCGATCGTTTTTTAATTCTGCAAGTTCTTTTTCCTCTTTTAATGAAAGATGTGTGGTTTCTAAACTAGGATTAAATAGATTCCTCACCCAATCAAACAATTTCAAATCCAGCATTGAAAAGTAATGATCAAGTTTTTGGTCTAATAATGTTATTGAGTCATTGATAATTGGTATTATTTTATCAGTAAATTTAGTTTTAGCAGGAAACATATCCAAATTATTATCATTTACCCTTCTTTTACAAATCAATAATTTGCTTTTAAATGCAGCCGTTTTGTCTGTAGTTGCTAATTAATTTTGATTTTCACCTTGTATGCTTAAATTTAATTGATTCAGGTGTTCAAAAATATCAGCTAAATATGCTAGTTTTGAACACCATAATTCATCGCGTAAATAATCGGAATATTCCATTTGTTCCATTATAACATATACTAATAGTTCTTCTCTAAGTTCATAAAAACGTAATAAAACTCGCCATTTTGATAACCAACATATTTCTATATAAATAATCAAAGTATAGTGGTCAGATTCCATTGATTTGCATAACTGAGAAAATAATAAAAAATTTTGAGGCCTACTTTTATAAAATTCACAATTTTTACGACTTGATCAAGTACAATCTTTAATTCATTAACAATACTTCTTGCAACTAATGCCTCTCTGTGTAAAAAACTGTGTTGTTTTTATATAAGGATTTTGATTTTTGGCAATTGTAATAAATCCTTTAATAGAGCCTGTCATTGATGGCGCTTCATTCATACAAATACATACACAAGAAGTCCACGATATATCATAATTTTTAAAATATTTATTTATGATATCAAAAACATCTCAACTAGTTGTTGTTCTAAATAATTCTATAAAACAAAAAATTGACGCAACTATTTTTGAATTTTCAATAAATCTAATAAATGCCATTAATTGAGCTTTCCCACTAATATTTGTTGATTAATCAACTTGCAAGGCAAATAGTTTTCCATTTTTTATAACTTCAATAATCTGCTCCTCAATATCCTCTAAGATATATTTTAATCCTTCTACTAATTGTACTATCAGATAATGGTATTTTAATTATTTCTTTTTCTGCTTCGACTCCTAACATAGTCTTTATCATAATACGACAAGCTGGCATAATAAGACTCTTAGTAATTAAATGAATTTTTTTTTTTTTGAGCTATCAATGAAACAATACTAATACTAACTTCCTGTGCGTTATCTGAAATTTTCACTGATTTTACAAATTGTTTTAATTGTAGTTTTTTAGAATCTAAAAGCCTTTGAAAATAATTAATTTGTTTACTTTGTAATGATTGATGTTTTGTGGTAAAATGGCGTTCTAGCTTATTGGGACCCATTGATTCGTTCGAAAATTTTTCATCACAAATAATACAAAAAGGAATAAGACAATGTTTGTCGCTGATTCAAAAAAATCCTAATTTTAAATAATTTTCATTGTGTTGACAATATTTATCTTTGAATTTTGTAGAAGAATTTTTCTTTAAAACTGGACGAGGCATTTAAAGAAGATGACGAGTTTTTTCTTGTTTTGGAATTGTCTTCATCTGTATTCTCTCTTACTACTTCTATTTTTTTAATCAAAAATCTATCCATTTTATTTCAATAAGTAGCAAAAAATTATTGTTTTTAGTAAATTAGGAAAATAAAAGTCTATTTGACTATAGTTGTAAATAAGAACTGAGCACACAAATAAAGTGAGGTATAGATAGGGTGCATGTTTAGTATAAATATTTTATACAGTATACAATATTTAAAAATAAATATTGATAAACCAACCTTTATCAATTAGAATTATAATGATAAAATGTATTTAATGTAAAATTTTAATTTAAAATAGCTGATAATCTATTTTTATTTATCATAGAAATTATATAAAATACCTATAATTTTTGTAAATAGTGTCAATAATGTTTGTACATTTTGTGTTATTTTATATTAGTACTTCAGACACATTTGGACTTACCCGGCGACACACCAGTTGAGAAACACTGTTCTATAGTATCATCAAGCCCCCATAACTCATATATACACATATGTTTGTGTTCTTGTTTAGTTCATTAATTCTATACTGCACTATCATTTGTTTCTGACCTGTGCCAATAATATCTAGTTAAATTTCTGGTTTTATTGTACTATAATAAAAAAAAATAGAGTAAATTTAATTATTTCTGTACATGGAGATAAATTGTAACAAAAAGTGATTTAGATTGAAATTTGGATAAAAATATTAAATATTTTGAAATGTTGTTCATTTTTCTGTTTTTCAATTATTAAGAAAATTATCTCAATACATTTACTAGACATTTTCATCAGAAACTACCTGAGAATTTAGTGATTAGAGTTAGATTTCTGTTAGAAAATTTGTTCTTAAACATAAAAAAACATAATAACTATACATAGCCAGCTAAACTCAGAATTTAAAATTTAAAATACACCATAAATAGTGAACCTCTTATTTTTGAAGTCTATATTAAGTAAAAATAAAATATTTGACTTTATAGCTTCCCAGTTGGAGAATTAAATCATTTAGCAATGGTTTTCCTATGGATGCTGCTGATATATGTAGTGAAACTATTGAACAAATACAATATTATTCAAAGTGTGAAAAGTCTGAACAAAAAAGGAAAAGGTAAGTAGGAAGTAGTTTTAAATTATTTTTTTTTTGTGTGCATGTCCTTTGTTGTTTTAATATGTTAATAATTTTTTTAGATGGGATCTGCAACGTGCCAGGGAATTAAGACAAATAGATTATTTAAAGGAAGGTCGTTATAAAAAAAGTTTACAAAACTTGAATAATGAAAATACTGAGCAAGATATGAGAAGTTTATTACCAAATCCAGATGGAATTGATGTGGTTCGAGTCACTGATAATTTACCTGTGTCTGCATTTGGATGCAATTTACATATAAAAAAAAATGCTGGATCGTTAGTATATTTTATTTATTATAAAGCATATTTCTCTTTGATAATCTGTAAAATGGGAATAGAATAAGGACAAAACAAAAAAAACTTGTTTCAAATTGGTGATAGAAATTCAATAGTTGTTCTATCTTGGTGATAACAGTGCAATTTTGTTCCAAACAATATTTCTGTGATATTTGCTATTTTAACTATTGGTAAATTTTGTTGCTACTTCTTTATCATATCGCGTTTTTTTGTGTATGCAATTAAAATAAAATAAAAAAAACCTGAATTTAACGCTTAGACTTTTATGTTTTATTTTGTGCTGATAAAATTATATTTATAAAAGTGTATTAGTTATTTTATTATGTAAGAGTTATTAAATACACGTGTATGTATAGTGTTACCTAAAAAGAGTATCACCTAAACATATTCTTGAAAATAGCATCACATAATCAAAAATTAGGTGACCGTTGTTACATAAAGTGATCCACAAGTCGATCACTTGCACTTAACCACCTCATAAATAAATATGATAAATCTATGCATGTGTACATTTAGCAAAGTGCAAAGTGAAATTTGGAGATTGCCTTTTATGTGTGCTACATAGACCTTAACAAAGTCTGATGACTATTAAATTTTGAATGAAAAATATTAAGAAGATTCTATGTACTCAAAATGTATTTATTTATTTATTAATTCAAATGGGATGAATCCAATAATAATTTTTTTTAGTTAATTACATTTGTTGACAGTTTTAAATGATTGACATTAAAAAGTATATATATAAAATTAACAATATAAAGATAAACTAGAAGATTCAAAACCTGTACAAAAAAGCAAATATAAATGGCATCCTAAAAAGTTGTAGATTGACCTAGGCCAAGAAGAAGCTGTGTCTCAGAGGTTTTAGGATTTAGCTAATGATTAAGGAACTGTGTCAAATTATTAAACATATTAAAAAAAAAAAACTAGTATTCAGTTAATCGTTTTCTTATATTTAGTTAATTATTTTTTACTAACAGACAGTGAACTATTGCATTATAAACAACTTAAAATAATTAATAAACCTACTAAAATTATCAAAATAATTATTAATAGGCATGAAAAAAAACAATCTTATTTTAAGAATATTAGATTTTTAGTCAAATAAATTGTCTTAATGTAGTTTTTTTGTTTTTATAAAAAAAGTATTTGTTAAATTATGAGTATAGTCTAAAAAAACTAAACTTAGATTTAGTAATTTGTATTAATTTAAAGAATTTTTAAATATTTCTGATAAAAATTTCAAAACTAATAATATTGTTATCTTGTTATGTTTTAGAACATCAGGTTATTTTATTTATTTTTTTTTACCTTTTTATAAATATATTCATTTTGATTTATATCCTTAAGCTATGGTTTCCTAGAAAAGAAATCCCTAGGAGCCCTAATATTGTGGTGGAAAATACAAACATGTATAAACAAATTTGGTGATGGTTTCTTAGAGAATGTTGAGTTTTGACCAAAATGTCAAACAGCAGTGTACTTAGTTGCATGGCGGGTGTTAAATAGTTGTCATATTTATTTTGGTGTAGTGGTTACCTTTATATGCCACAACACCAAAAACATATGTAAATGACAGTATACTGCTAGATAACAGGCATTTTTTTTTAGAAAACCATTACAAAATTATATCACCGCTACTAGATAATGTTATACCACTTTTATAGGAATCTAAATTTTATCATAATATATTGTATTCTTGAAAAAAATAATAGTTTTAATGCTACATTGATTTATTGTTCTACAGGTATAAATTTCATTATAGTCAATGGTGTAATGATGGAACTGGGCCTTTACAAGAAGATAAAGAGCAAGAAATTCCTCCTCTTGAGGGTGGTGATCCTTGGCGATGTGAATGTAAGGTCTAGTAAGACACAATTTGAATTACAAGTATGTTTTTGTGATTAATATTACAAATATTTATTAATCTATAATTTGTTACAATATATTATATTAAATTACAAATTGGTCTTTTGAACATTATATTTGTGTGTAATATTATCTTTTGGTCTACCAAGAGATCTACCAAACAGGCATAATAGACAAATTACAATACATAGAACTTAAAGAACCATTCAACTCAAAAAATCAATAATTATTTTATTACCACTATAAATAGAATACAGTCTAACTAGTATAATGATACAACTAAAATTATTCGTTTGTGACTATAATGTAATATTGCCATATATTATATATGGCTGCCACTGCGTCGAATCTGTGATGTAATGTGCAATATTAAAAATCATCATAATTAGCGAACGATTAGTCACAAACAAATTTTAGTGGTATCATTTTTTTGTGATAGTATGTACTAAAATTTAAACCAAAGAAAATATTTTGAGTTGGATGGTCTATAAAGTGTCTTGCTTAAATTGTATTATTTAGAATTGTTAAACAATTCTGTAATTTAAGTCTTGTGTGTTGTAATTTTGGAGTGAAGAACATAAGGCCTTAATACTAAAAATAACTCCACCATTCAAATGATAAAAGGCTGAAATTAAAATGTACCAAAAATGTATACCTTTGCTGTTTATTATATTAACTGTAGACTGTTAAAAAGCTATCTTTTGTATTAAGTGTCAAAAAATCAAATTATTTAGAAAAGTTCAAAAATCATTTATGTATGATTTAACTTGTTCTAAATTTATTTACCATCATTTTCAATTTTGAACAGAATATGGAATTTATTGGTTCTACTATGATTTATGTTTTTTTTTTTAAATTTAAAGTCCGCTTTATCTATGTGTCATGTCACCTACAGAAAAATGACTAGTGAATTTTAATCAAATGGTTGCTTACGCCCAATAGTTTTCTAACAGTTGATATGATAATGATACTTTGAATATATAAAAGAAAATTCCTTTAAAAAGGCCATTTAAATTGTCCTTTCTATAATATTATATATACAGAATACAGTTAAAAATTTAGTTATTTTGTATAACATATTTGTATTCACACCATTTATATACGTTAAACACATTTTATTATATACAGCAAATCTGTAAATAATTTAATTACCCTAAACTAAACTCCCTTAGAAAAGTTGGGTGGTTAAATAAACAATCAAATTTTTCAAAACCAATTGATCAAATCATGTAAAAGATTAAATTAATAACTTATTAATAGCATTTTAGAATATAGTTTAAATAAATTGAATAAATTGTTTGTGAAGTAATAAAAATAAAAATTGAATGTTAAATACTTCTTATATAGTGTCCCATGAAAATATAACCATTGTAATATATCTGGAATATTACAAAGTCAATCAAATATTTGGTAAAAAATTAAAATAATAACTTGAAAAATTTGAAAATAACCATTTTATAGAGTTTATTTGTTTGAGAATACTGCTGTATCAACTTTTTATTTTCATTAAATTCATGACAATAATTTAATGAAAATAAAGTCAATACTTAAAAATTTAACTATAAAATTACTATCTCCAAATTTTTTAAACAACAAAATAACGTTATTTTTTTATTTTTTACTGAAACATACAAATTTAATTAAAATATAAATATTTTCAATCTTTATATCTGCGAGTATTATAAAAAAAAAAAAAAACTAAATTTGATTATTTTTCTTATCTCAGGAAATATTGTAATGGGTTTATCTTTGTGGGACACTGTATAGTGTATATATAGAAATATTAAAATCAAAGTTGTGAGTATTTCTACTTGTACATTAATTTGTTGATTTAATTTTGATTACTACCTGTTGATGTCAGATTAGCATATATTAATGTAGTATATAATAAAAATGCATTTATTATATTAAAATACTTTTATAGATACATGCTGTTATTGCATCAGTTATGACAGTTGATATTCCAATCTGTTGAAGGCATAAGAGATGAATTTGATCTACACAAACTATTGTTGTCATAGAAATTGTCAGTTATCAATGTAAGCTTGGATTGAACTAAAAAAATAATGTAATTACTTGAAGAAATTATGTTATCTTGATGTTACCTTAATGTTAGTATTATCAAAATTTTAGATGTATAATTTTGTAAATTCATTTATTTTCTGTGAATATGTATTTATAAAATGGAAACATAAAAACAAAAAATGATATAACTTTAATATTCATTATTAGGTTCTGTAGATATACTTACTAATAATTATTTAAATATATATTATACTAATTTAGGTGATATTAATTTGTAAAATAATTTATTTTTACATTATGTACATCCTATTTTGGACATTACTGTTAAAGAAAGGTTGTGTTTATTAACCATAATATATTAGTTCTTTGTTAGTTTACATCAAATAGAACTAAAAATATATTAATGACATTGTTCAAAGAAACATAACTTTCTTTATTAGTTTATTTAAATTTGTATGCTGCTTTGAAATATATTTTTATATGTATATATACTTTGTCCACCATAAGAGTAGTAGTCGGCGGCGACGCATTTTCGTTGCCGATGGTCAGAGCCCTCCCATTTGATGACGACCACAGCTGTTGTACATTTTTCGCACACACATTTAAATTCATAAAGTACGTATTTCGTTCATTATACATTGTGTGGCGGCAGCAATGCATTTTAAGTTATTTATGCAAGTCGGCTATCAATTGTAGACTAATACTGCTCTCCGGGATGGCAGAGCCAACGCTCTGTGCATGTAGTGAAGGCCACGCACATGCACATAACTCAGCTGCCAACTACTACTCTTATGGTGGAAAGAGTATATATATATATTTATAATATTATGTTTATAAGCTAAAATGTAAGAAACCATGGATATTAATTCTGAGTTTGAATTTTTCAGTAGTTTTGTTATCAACTTAGTTGCAGGTTCAGTACCTATAGTCTTTTTATATCTTATCCATCCATCTTTGTTTTGGCTGTTCTCTAGGTGTTTTAGTGTTTGGTGATCATTTTGCATTACTACATTTAAAATTTTTATAAAATATGACAATCATGACAATCAGTATAGGTACTTTATATAAAAGTCCAACACATCAAAATAAATAATAAATTCAGAATGTCAAGATAAAAATAAAAATAATTAAAATTTAAAAATTATTATTTGTGTACAATTATTGAAAAATAGTAAACAATTGAGTTGTCTATAAAAAAAAAGAATAAATATATATTAAAATAAATTATTGGATTAACTGAATAAATACTTAAATTTGTCTAATCTTTAGCAAGTTTATAAATAGGCAGTTTCATATTTATCAATTAATCTTATGAATAATTTTCAAATCACTCTAAAACAGATGTTTAACATGAAGGTATTTTATAAAATAAATATTTTTAAAATTTTATAAGTAGATTAAAACTTTTTTGATATAAAAACTAATATAATTTTTTTTTTTTGCATATTTAGATGCTAAGAAAGTATAATATATTTGTCTAAATGGTTATATTTTCATTTTCTACTATTTTTAGTGAATCTTACATGCATATATTTTATAGTGTTTCTACACATAAGCAACAATGTGCTGTCAAATATCAAAGAACTACCAACTAATTAATAAACATAATATTTGTATTACCTGCATTGAACTCTATATGATAACTGGAATACTCACCAAGGAGTGTTGCCCAAGAGAAAATGTTACAGTGAGATCTTTGTCTTACACATGACACTAATATCTTTTATTAATTTACCGCAATATTATTTTAGTTTGGTTCTTAAAATCTCATTATTTTTAGTTTCCACAAAATAATTTTGATTAATTCAATAGAGTATACATAAATCAATTTATTATACAAACAATTTAAAAATAAATAAATAGTTTATTAGCACATAGATAATTATAATATATATGAGTAATATAACGAGTATTGAAACATACTTTTCATGTAGACTTCTACATTTTTCTTATAAATGTAAGGAAGTTTATGTAAAAATAAACCATTTTTAACAAAAAACGATTCGGAGCAAAGTTCAATCAGACATATTTTGAAATTTCGTAATTTTTATGATTTTCTACAAAATTTAATCTTCAAATGCTTGAAAAAAAAAAACGAATGCATTAATTCAAATTTGATTTTGTTGCTGATCAATTTCGCTAACTTCCTCAAGAAAAACAAGCGAAGAAAAGCATTTTATTAGTTTGTATTTCTATAAGCTTTCTTCAGTTCACTCAGAATCTAAAAAATGTAAACGCATTAACATCAAGTTAGTTTTTAAAACACTGGATATACCTAGCATATTTATTGTATTTATTATTTTATTATAACTCTTTTTATCAAGGTTTGTCATTTGTTTATTTGGACCATAAAACTGTATCAATATTTTGAAAGCTTGCTATAAATGGTGTACCTATTTAATGTATTTCCCAACATGCTTGAAGCTGTTGACAATGATAAATTTAATAGTTTATTAATCGTGAAACTAAAATGAAAATTAATTAATATCAGCTGGAGAGGTAGGTATTCGAGTATGAATACTCAAACAGCTTATTCAATTTTGAAAAGTATGTAACGTCCAAAAACGAGCATTTTCCGTTATCAAAGGACAAGCATACCTACAATCGATATAGTCGACCGGTTAGTAGATTACGCCCGTGTCGACGGATATGTTATGTCATCATAAACAATAATTCCCCCCCCCCGCGCAAAGGTTTATGCGATCAAAATCTTTTGTAATTCAAATAATATATTCCTTACTACAGGTTAACAGCCAATCAGATCACGTTTCCCCTTATCGCCGAAAACGTCGGCCCACGGCGACGTGTGCCACGAATGTCTCCGCGCTCCGTTACGCAGTTTTTCTTTGTTCGTTCGTTTTCTTCTTCGTGTCTAGACCTCGTCTCAAGACTTTGTCACCAAACGGTTTTTCGATACAGTTCTCCTAACAAAACACTCCCGTGTATTGCACGGATTCATATATTTTGCCATCAAGAAAAGGTCGTGTACCTTGGCACGTTTCATGATGGTGTCTCAAACGAACCGATGAAGTGAGTCCAGATCTGGTCCGGGCGCGACGAACGGTAATATACATGTGATTTAATAATATCCCGTTAGTTAGTTTTTAAGGTAGTTCAGTTAAGGTGTCCCGTATAAATATTTTTATCTAAAATGTTTCTTTTCCTCGTATGTCAAATTCTTCCGATATACTTACGGGGATCAACCAGCGTCTATTCGATTTGTGTGTCCGTCTCATTGTACTAATCCTCGCGTTCCACATCCTATGTGCGATAGGTCAAACCCCCCGAATTTTGTTTTTTATTTTCTATTCCCTTTAAGTACTAGGTTTCGCAACCACGTGTGTGAGCATCTAAAAAAAAGAATATATTTATTGATCGATCTTCCCCATTTCGCGATCCATATTCGGAAGCACCCCGCAGGTTCACCCGTAGGGCCATCAAAATCACGAACCAGTCAACATCGAATAAAAAATTGTAACCTTTCCCGGTGGTAATTTGTGTGACCTGGCAACCGCACATTTCTGCCAGGGTCTCCCCAATACTTACTGTGTCCAAGAAAGTTCCACGTGGAGGTCCGTCTCGGTCTATACACATATCGGTCAGCACACACACGTGGATGTGGATTCGTCATTATCAATAAATATTAATGAGTCCCAGCCTGCACGTTCTCCGTTATGTCACTACCTGCGTCCGGACAACAATTTTAAGATTGGTTGACGCCCCAGTTAATATATGTATGTCTTTAAAATATAAGTTGTTTGTTTGGGGATTTTTTTCTATAATCCTATATATACTCGTATGTATATGTCAGAGTCGTACATACTATTTATTTTCTCTCGGGTGACAGTTTTTATGCCCTTGTGCTTTTCTGTTGCAATAACTTAATTTTACTCTTTGATTGATAAGTTAATAAAATAATTCTTTATTTCTCCCAAAAGAAAACACGTGTTTATTTATTTAGATTCTCCTTTTCCCTTCCCTCCTCACAAAAATCCTAGGACTCCGGTCTTCGGACCTCGGTCTTAGGTTGGCGCAACCTTGTTCTTAAGCGGGTAGTCAGCTAGGCGCTCGGATCGGTTCTGTCAAACAAGGCCGACCGAACTGGGACGTCTCAAGTATTTTGTTTTAAAAATCCCAATTTTAATTCTTAATACAATTTGAATGTATTTAGTAAGTTGTATTAAATAATTAACAAGTATAACAAGTAACAGACTAATATTTAATTTAGTATTTGTTGTAATTATTGAACCTATGTAATTATTTATGTTATCATATAATTAAAAACGAATAATAATAGTAATACATTTAAATAACATTTTAACATATAGGCACTGTAATAAAAATAAATTATTTGACACTGAAATCTTTTTTAAAAGTATTTAAAATACTTGTATTTACATAAATAATAAATTTAAAAAAAATATTATATTTTAATTAGGTTTATTTCAGAAACAAACAATATTGTAGTTGGAATAAAATAAATAAAATAATTTACTCCGAGACGAAGGGATAGAAGGTGCCCTAAGAGCACGATGATGTATATAGGCTGTAAATGAGATTCCTACAATCATGCTGTATTTATGCTAGGATTTTAGTAGAACTATCCGTTATATATTCCAGGACTTCCCGGGATATCCATAGGACATACTTCAATGATCCTCATATCCACCTATGAACATCTTCAGGATGTCCCACATTTAGAATATTGATATCTATTGTGTCCTATTCGTGTACTATAAATATCCAGTTAGTAACCTGGGTGGTTTCTATATATATATCCTGTTAATAACCTGAGTTAGTCCCAAGTATTACCATTAAATTCACAGAATATCATATAATTAAAACTAATCCTCTATGGTTGAAAATATAGTTAACATAATGTATTTTATAACTGAATAGTTTATAGGTTTTCAATAAAATAAATCGATTAATAGTAAATAATAATAAAAAAAACAAGAGCTTTATTGATTGATCACATATTATTAATTTTGTTCTAAAACAATTTTAAAAATCATGATTTGGCATTTCGTTTAAGGCGTTCTGAGGCATGCTTGAGCCAACTCTGAATCTCTGAATCTATATTAATATATGTAGCTGTGTTGAAAGTTATCTGAACAGTTTCTGAAAGTTTCTAGACATGGTAAAGCTTTTAGAATATTTGAGCAATTTTTGAACAATTTATAGACATTTTAATTTTACGAGTTTTTACGTAATTTTTATTTGTTAAGCACTCTGTAGTTAAATGGTTAGACTTAACAGAAATGCTTGATAATTTGTTAGGAGGTTCATTATAAGTCGTATCTAGTGGTAAAAAAAATTTAATTTAATATAGTATTTTTTTTTTATAAGTTTTAAAATTAAATTTTGACGAAAATTGTAAATATTACCTTTCAAAACATGTAAACCGATCTTCGCTCCGAATCATCTTTCGTTATCAATGGTTAATCGTTGGTTACAGGTATAATTTAAAAAAAATCACGTATCTCACCTTTCCCACTATCTATCTACAACAGTGGCCGCACCCGCCCCCAGTATCATCTCTATTTTTTTTAAATTCATTCTTGATTAAATGATACAATTCATAATGTATTTAAAACAGAATCGTTTTTTTCTTTTGTGTGAAGAATCATGATTCTGCATGTTCTGGGGGGTACGGTGAATAAAAATTAGGACCGACTGACAGTTACCAGGAATCATGGATAGGTGAGAGCATTTACAATGTAAATCCTCTCACCTATATGTATATTGTAAATTTTACAACATACATACACCTAACCTATCGAATACTTTGTGTTTCTAACTTAACCTAACCATACTGCACATCTCCCTGTATCCATTGTCAATTCTTCGTCTATAATGCACACGCCTTCATATCTACCTTAATATCCCATAACAATTCTTCGCATGCAGCCACTTGAAATCACTTTTTTTTTTTCAATTTTTCATCATTTCTTCTGACCTAACTATCTAGACATATTCTTATTTCTCGACTATTTTCTTTACTTACTGTTATTCCAATATAAACTATTTTCTGTGATATATTTATTCATATAATTTTATATCGGACAAATATTTTTTTGATTTTTTAAGTGGTTTTCATAATTATATTGCGAATACCGGGAAATAACATAGGAGAAATGAAGGGATAAACAATCAAAAGTAAGGACAAGAGATCTTTTTTTTAAATTTTTGATCTAATTACTCACGAATAATGTGTTTTTTTTTCTGAGTATTTTTCGTAATAATTCGAAAAAACAATAAAAAGACGAAAAATGAAAACTGATAATTCTGCGGCGTCACAATTCATTTATTTTAAGTTTTTACGACTTATGTCTTCCATCAGAAATATTGCTCCAATTAATAAACAATAGGATACCTATCTTGTTTGATTCTTAATGTAGTTGGCGTGCAAGAAAGTCGTTTTTCGATTCTACAAGTAGTTTTCATAATAAGGCTAGGATAGGATAACCGCCAGATGCACAAAAATAAATACACCGTAATTTCCCTGAGATGTTTATTTCGGTATCATTTACCGTATAATTATTATGGTATATTATATAATAATCGCTTTTATAGAAGATAATAATAATAATAAATATATCAGTAGGCAACCAACCAAAGTTGTCATATAAAGTAATGGTTTGTTTTCTTTTTTAAATCATCCGTTTATACTTTCAAATAACTTAATAAATTAAATAAATATGTAGGTACGGTATAAGTATATATTATGAATATATAATACATAATATACACATACAATGTATTTATATGTGCGTGTTTATCTGTTCGCGCGTGTGCGTTTTTTTTAAATTTAAAAACATTTTCTGTGTACGATGGACGGACCGCTCTCGTCATATTCGGTCTTAGAAATCCACATCTGTTGGAACGTGGACAGGGATGCCAAAATGGATCCACCGATCCACACGGAATATTTGCGTTCGGGTGGGGCGATCGTTTTGATTTTCATCGTGGACGGCGCCAGTGATGTGATTTCTTTTTGCATCCGGTCGGCGATGCCCGGGTACATGGTGGTGCCTCCGGATAATACCGTGTTAGCGTACAGGTCCTTCCTGATGTCCACGTCGCACTTCATGATCGAGTTGTACGTGGTTTCGTGGATTCCGGCTGATTCCATGCCCAAGAACGACGGTTGGAACAGCGATTCCGGGCATCGGAACCGTTCGTTGCCGATGGTGATCACCTGCACAGCAAAGGTCAGGTCAGGTTAGGTTTTAATACGACCACGGTTTTGTTTTTTAATTGAAAAATAAAATACCTCTATTTATTCGTGTGGTTTATAATATAATTGATAACATACCTGTCCGTCGGGAAGTTCGTACGATTTTTCCAGTGCACTGGATGACGCGGCCGTTTGCATTTCCTGTTCAAAATCGAGGGCCACGTAACAGAGCTTCTCCTTGATGTCACGCACGATTTCCCGTTCCGCGGTTGTGGTGAAGCTATATCCTCTCTCGGTCAGGATCTTCATCAGGTAGTCTGTGAGGTCGCGACCGGCCAAATCCAGACGGAGTATGGCGTGTGGCAGGGCGTAACCCTCGTAGATGGGTACTGTGTGTGACACGCCGTCACCTGAATCCAACACAATACCGGTGGTTCTACCGGAAGCGTACAGCGACAGTACGGCTTGGATGGCCACGTACATTGCTGGCGTATTGAAAGTTTCGAACATAATCTGAAAAAAAAAACTTGCGGTATAAGATAATATTTAATACAATAAAATGAAAGCAAAGCCATCACAGCATTTATGACCTTTTTAACTTTAACACATCCTAAATGGTTAAATATAGTATAACAGTTGGATCCGCAAAACTATTACAATAAAGTCGGTAATGAGGTACTAAATCTCAGAGTTCTACTTGTCATGTTAAGGATTAATGGACTTCGGATTGGACAATCGGATATTTGTTGCTCTAATGGTTTTTAACTCCAGTTTTAGAGTATAATTAATTATAGCCCGTGTATTCATTCTGTCAATGACTGTAAATCATAAGCGATTGTTCAAATTACAAATTCAACCGTACATCCAAGTTTCGAGAACTTTTTTAAGCACATCTTTAAGCATTCTCAAATGTATTCGAAATCTAAATATTAATCTGTGATTATTGTGTACTATATATTGTGAGTTAGCTGTATTTTAACACATTGTCTTTAACTGTTTCACCCTAAAATATCAATAAATAATTTTAGATTCTGAGTGGAGCGAGAAATGTGTTGGTTTTACAATGTTTTTTTATTATCTGTGAACAACTTTTTTACTAGTAATTTTGTTCGGATATACAATGATAGAAATTTTTATGAAAGAAAATCTGATTGGGGTGGTACTTTAAGGAGGTCATTTTTTTATTTTTCCAAAAGTTTTCCCAACAAATGGGAAAAACCGGGAAAAAACTTAAGAAAAATGGGAAAATAGGTACAATATTAAACAAATATTATTAAAGAAAATATACAATTTATAAATAATTATTTTACCATAATATGACATTATATATTGACAAAGCTGCAACACTATCAAATGTACTTTGTTTAGAGTCGTTTTTTTGTTTAACAATTGTTAATCGTTGCATATATTAAATTTCCTCTCTTCTCACCTACAACAGTGTTCTCAGTTTCCCACTTACATATTGATTTTGTCTAAAACTACGGTGTATCTGTAATATCGTCATCGAGTTTTTTCATGAACATTTTTATGATAAACTGTTTTTTATTGAGACTCAATAGAAAATAAAGGGTCGCGGGGCGGAAAATTCGCAACTTATATGGTATCAATCGAAGTAATTTTACTAATCGAAAAAGTGATCACCGTCAAAAAAAAAAAACAAAAAAATATCATTCAGATTTGTAAAACTAACGTATAAAATAAATCACACGTAACGGTGAAATATGTCGGTACAGCGCACCGCTCACCTGGGTCATTTTCTCGCGGTTGGCTTTTGGGTTCAACGGGGCTTCGGTCAGCAGCACGGGGTGTTCTTCAGGGGCAACTCGTAGTTCGTTGTAGAACGTGTGGTGCCAAACTTTTTCCATATCGTCCCAATTGGTGACGATTCCATGTTCGATCGGGTACTTGACGGTCAGAACACCCCTTTTGGATTGCGCCTCGTCACCGACGTAGCTGTCCTTTTGGCCCATGCCTACCATGATGCCCTAAAGGTACAATAAAAAAAAAAAAAAAAGGCACGTGACATCTCGAGTGCAATATCGACGTTTTCTCTCGGTCAGCATACGTGCTGTATTTCTTTTTTTATTGTCGAGTAACGGAAGGAATAATCGGGGAAAACTATGTAACAATACTACATTATAGCGATGGGAACCTCCGGAGGTTCGCCAAGCCGCTAAGAAGACAGTATTAGCTATATCCAATGTTGTAACACGACGGGTTAGTGAGTCTATTGGATTTTTCAAACGCCGACGGATAGGCACCGTAATATTATATTATATATCTACACGATAGATTCCCGGTCCTTTTTTTTTTTCGTATTTTCTAATCTAATATCGTATGCCGGTACATACCTGGTACCGCGGACGTCCGACTATGGACGGGAAAACGGCTCTGGGCGCGTCGTCACCCGCGAAACCGGCCTTGCACATACCGGAACCGTTGTCCACCACCAAAGCTGCTACTTCTTCGTCGCACATGATGCCGTATTATTTTCTATAAAATATACAAGAGGAAAACGACGATGTCAAAAAAAAATGTGCGTATAAAAACAGTAGGTATCCGTGCAATTCAAATAGTATTACAAACTGTAATCAATAAAACGATTAAACGCGTTAGGTTACCTTTTTTTTGAGAAACCGAACAAATAGAGAGTAGGATGAAAATAATAAAAAATGACGAGTGCGATCGGAATACGACGAGCGTGCAGAATACACCGAAACGATGGGCGCCCGTCCGTTTATATAGCACGACGCTAATACACCGTCGAAAGTCTAAAGAAAATACAAATAAAAAACTCGGTGGAAGGGTAAAGGTCGTCTCCGTCACAGCGACACGATACGCGCGATTTTATGACCATATGCGACGCGGTCAATCACGTTAATAATTCCTTTTAGAGGCTGCGGTTGTCGGTCGAACGACGCGCGCGTATAGTGCAGTGTATACTGGTAACAACACTACGAGACCGTCTTATTATTATATCCATATATACATGTACACTTCGTAATACTATTATTATTTCATTTATATTATCAGGTACGACGGACGCGAAATAAAATGAAACGATATCGACGGTGGTGTTTTTTTTTTCAGCCGCATATACGAATTGCGTTCCAAATTTTTTTTCGGTGTGTATATACCTACTGGTGTCGCATGTCCCGTCTGTAAATTATAAAAGCTAAACATTATCGCCAAATGGAATCCGTTCAGAGTTATGAAAAGCCAAACTGATAACAATATAGCCCTAATATATTGTATTTTCGAAATCGGCAAAAGTACTTTTCAAAGAAAATATAATATTGGTTTTCTTACGTTCAGTCAAAATGTGTTCAAATGTAAATCGACATTTGTACCCATCAATAGTAAATAAATCGTATCGTTTTTCACTGTACCTACATGTTTTGCATCTCACTCGTCATAATCAAAGTTAAAACGTAATTATTTACTTATGTACGTACTAAATCGATAATATTAGTGCAATAACTAATAATCACATAATATTTATATAAACGTTTTTGATATCACAGGTAGTCGGTACAGAATTCGGATGTGCTCAAGAAACACCAATTTTACAGAAAACTTTTATTTTCCTTTTATAGACGTAGTAAAATGTCCAAAACATTTTGGCGACTTTTGAGCTATTTACAGGCATTTTATGTTGCTAGTTTTGTACGTAGTTTTTATTTGGTAGGTACTATGTAGATATCAATATAATATTGTTTGACTAAACAGAAATGTTTGAAAATTTAACAGGAGGTTCATTATAAATTGTAATTAGTGGTTAAAAAAATAGTTTGAAATGTATTAATTTTTTTACAACTATTTTAAGATCAAATTTTGAAGAAAATCGTAAATATTACGGCCTTACAAACCATGAATACACAAAACTCGCTCAAAATCGTTTTTTATTAGCAATAGTTTACCGTTGCTTAAAGATATACTTTATGTATCCTACCTTCCTAGCTTCTCATCTACATTACAGTGGTGCACTCACCAGCAATATCAGTCGTTTTAGATTCGAAGGTATAGTGAGGGATTTATTGGTTTTACTATGACGTGTTTGTATTTTATTTTGATTTAGTATTTTAGATTTCGAGCGTAGTGAGGGAGCTATTGGTTTTACTAAGATGTTTATTTCTTCTTCTAGTCTGTGGACACCTTTTTTCCTAGTAAATTTACTCCGATTTTTACGTGTATCAACTTTTCTAAATGCTCAAATTGTCTAGATGGCACTATTACAACTGAACTTCACTCCAACGTTTTTCGTCAACCCAACCTAACCTCCCAAGTTTATATATTTGAAACATTACACGGTTCGATTCGACGGATAAGATACGTTTATCTTTTTTCGCTATTGTCTAAAACTTTAGTGGCTTTTCGTCGACTGTTATTTAAGTATAAGTATAGTAGGTTTTGGGTTTCATAGGACGTATCTCTATAACTTCTAAAATAACTATAATTCCACGATGGTCTATGTATACGCGCCAAAGGCATCACACCATCGTCAGATAAACAATTGCCATAGCCACTTGACCATGGAATTAGTAATATTACCGTAAACACGCACAATACTTAATATTTACATTGCACATTAAGGTGGGAACAGACTATTGTCATGTCACGTGAGCTCATGTGACGAGAAAAAAGTGTGGGATATAAGTTTTTACAGTATTTTAATGTATCAGCACCACATTAACGCCACCTCACGCGTGTCATGTCACATTTCCTACCTCACGCGTGATGAACCGTGATGTCACGTTTTGATTTTCTAACTTCACACATATTTTTGATTGCGTGAGCTCACGAATTTTGTCTATTTTGTTATTATTCATAATTTGTATGTACGTACAATTATAACGTATTATTATAACGCTCTTAATATTAAGAACAATTTTAGAGCTAGTTCATTAACTTTAAAAAAAAATTAAATTTTTTACTATGGATGAACTTCTCATTGAAAAAGTTCGCGAACATCATGTTTCGAAATTGAATATTTTGTTTTTGTATGTCTTGTTTAATAAGTTCATGCAAATAATCAAATTCTTCTTTTGTCATCCGGAAATACATGTGAAACCGTTTTGGTTCGTTTCGTAATTCACGAATCAAACGATGGAATTCGCCCAATTGTTCTTTTTTTTTTATTGATTTCATGTACCCAGATTGATCAGGTGGTTTTTTTTATTTGCCTCATCTGAAATCACAAATACAGCTGCTGTTTCTAATTCTTCTTCCCACTCTGAACTACTTGAAGTTTCTCTATCCATTTTAAATTTATTATAAAATAAAAATGTGTGCGAACACAGTACATAAACAGTGGCGTTCATTCAACATTCGTACAGTCAAAAGTGACTCTGAAAAAAACTGTGACGTGATAAAGCATAACAACTTGATAATGTAACAATAGTTTGTTTCTAAGCTTGACATCACGGTTAAAATATGCCAACGTGACAACACGTGAGCTCACGTGACGTGACAATAGTCTGTTCCCATTTTTACTAGTATGCGTGTCATATACCTACCTACTCTACGATCCCTGAACTCTGCAGCAGTCCACGCTTTCCTGCGTCTCCAGGCCGTCCTTGACAATCAAACAAACGAATAGGTTTACAATAACATTCGAACCCTCTCTTCCAAAAGCGGTTATCGTCTTGGGTCAGTTTATACGTATTTATATTAGTGTTATACGATTATATAGTAGGTATACATGTACTACATTTTGAATTCCAAATGGAGTGAAGAAGCTTTTATAGGTATTTTGCATTTTATTTATTTTTAAAACAGATTTTCGATTGGTAAAAATACTCGAACATTTTCACTATAGTCGTAGGGTGATAAAATAGATTGGAAGAAGGGCTGTAGCCCCCTCCCCACTAACTTTGTCCATGACTCATGCCGTAAATACCTTGGTACACTATACACGATGCGGTTTTTCGGTCGGTAAGTGTTTTATTCAAAATATTTTTTCGAGTAAGTATAGTAGGTACGAGTAAATATAATTTTAGGCTTCCCTTAATTATACTGATAAACTAAAAAAAAAAAATTGATGGTGAAATTTATTCTATACAAATACACAAAAATAATGGCGAGCAGTTTAATTTAAATATTCGATAAAAAAACCCCGTCTCGTTGAGTACCCGTTAGATTTACATAATCAATTTAACACTGCGTGATCTACAAGAATATCTGTTTTTATGTGAATGTAAGAAATATTAGTATAATTCTCATTTATAATTTTATTTATTTCTGTATCTAATGTATGGGTCATTTAGTGTATGTGTAAAGCAAACAAATTAAAACTGTATAAAGTTTCGGATATACCTATGTGATTCATCATCACTTTACGATGGCAACAGTTGTCGTCACGTGATGTATACCGATATAACATTGCTATATTATGATAAACCTAAATACGAATCTTCAACTATATAATATAGGTATTCGTCGAACTTTAAATGGTATTGTGTTCACGTTCTGTTCGCGTCAAAACAAAACGGTGATTTCCAGTTACCGGTAATAGGCGTGTCGTATACGCAATAATCACACTAATAGGTAGTGTATATACGAGGTTAGATAGGTAACTTCTACCTCGGGCTTAAGAAAATATTATAAATGTAAAAGACATTGGAGTAGTCGTTTAAAAATACCTGAGTGCAGCAGAGCTCTGTCATTGTTAGAGTCAAATTTTCCCATGCCTATTTTGTATTGTTGAACTTTGCAAAACAATTTGAATACTGTATAATAATACTTAATATAAGAATACTTTTACTATAAATTATACTAATTTTGGAAAAAAAAAAGATAAAATTTGGTCACAAAAATGGTTGAAAGTTTAAACTCCCAAATGGCACATTCTTGACACTCACACCATGCACGTATACTATTTCATCCACATAACTTATTTCGGGAGACCTGTAGGGGTGTACAAAGCTAAACAACATCCTTCACCCGCAACAAAAAATTCATGTTGAAATTTAACCAAACTTTTATTACTTCAATCCGCTTATATATAAAGTCATACTAATTTCCGTGTATTATCTCATTTGGTCCAAAGAGAGTCGCTAGAAATATCTAAAATTAGCAGGGAAAAGATGTACACGAGACATGTAATGCGTTGCAATAGTATCTATTTCCGGGAAAAATTCGACAAAAATGCATATTATTTAGATTCTCATTTCTAAATTTGTACACGAATTCATATTTTTTTTATCTGCATCGCGTGTCTTAAGTGATTTAACCGAGTGCAAAATAGTATAAAAAAAAGGCGCGTGCATATATTTGCCAATATACATAATATAATGTGTAGTATTACCTATATTATATAGTAGCGTTTTCACACGTCATTTGTGAATTTTCTTTTTGTTTACACGAATCGGATATCCATATTATTATTTTATATATTGATTTATACTGTATGTATCCAAATATGATTCGAAGTCGGAATACGGTAGGTAGGTACCCGTACCTCTATATTTATTATATTATTATTATATACTTGAATGAGGTCATCGGCTGAAGATAAATTAAGATCGATAATGCTCTCAATTTATATTATAGGTACAGCGAAAATAGATAATATTAATATATACCTACATAGAAGTGTAAATACATGTAATATTCTCCATTCCTTTACCGGCGTATAATAATTACCAATATAAGTATTGGAATACATTGGTACGTCTCGGAATGTTTGGTTTTTTTATTTTGTACCCACCATTATACTGTTATGTAACTTATGTAGGTTCCTATGATTGAAGAGTGATCAGAAGT